TACAATAAAGAGGATCCTGAGATACATCAAAGGGACCTCAAATGTTGCATTATGTTATGAAGGATCAAACTTACTAATCAATGGGTATGTAGATTCTGACTATGCAGGAGATTTGGAAAAAAGCAAATCTACTACATGATATGTGTTCAAAGTTGCTGGTGGAGCTGTAAGCTGGGTTTCAAAATTACAGTCAGTTGTGGCTATATCCACAACAGAGGCAGAATATGTAGCAGCTACACAAGCCAGTAAAGAAGCAATTTGGTTGAAGATGCTATTGGAGGAGCTTGGGCACAATCAAGAGTATGTCTCTCTGTTTTGTGACAGTCAAAGCGCCTTGCATTTAGCAAGGAATCCAACATTTCATTCAAGGAAAAAGCACATACGAGTTCAGTACCATTTCATTCGTGAAAAGGTGGAAGAATGGACGATAGATATGCAGAAAATTCATACCAAATGCAACATAGCAGATTTCATGACGAAGGTGATCAATACTGATAAATTTACTTGGTGTCGATCCTCCTGTGGCCTGTCAGAGACGTAAGCAACATGATGGTACAAGGTAGAAAGAATGGTGTGAAGATATTATTGTTCCAATCAAATCTTCAAGTGGGAGATTGTAGAAAGTCAAAAATAATAAATGGGTTGGCTGTAACATCCTCCATACCGGGTTAGTGATCAAATTGTGAAATTATAAAATTCAATGACCAAAGTAGATAAATTGAATAGTTGAAAGATTTAATGGGAATGTATTGTGTAGGATCAATTAACAAAGAAGGAGGAACTAAAGGGGTAAAGGAGTCTTTTAATAGGGGAAATAATTAAATATTAGATGAGGATATTTAAATCCACGTGGAAGGCAAATGAAGAGAACAAAAGTTTCCAGATTTCTCTTCTTCTTCACTTCTTCTTCTCCATCGAGAGACCAAACTAAAGGTGAGTTTTCTTATTGATTAAATTCTTGATGAATTTAAGGTTTCTTATTGATCCTTAGTTGATAACTAAGCTTAAGGAAAGCTTAGATTATCTTAAAACCATAAGATGAGGAGAATATGAAGAATCAAAGAAAGGAAGTAGAAAAGTGAAATCTTGGATTAGAGTTCCTAATAAGAATTAGAAGTGGGATTTGACTTGACATAAAGCTAACTAAGAAGTATGAGGTGTTAGAATTTAAATTAGAACATGTTGGAATTTGGGTTAGATTCTTAAATTCTACATGGAGAATTGGATTTTTAAGTTTCAAAAAGTATGGAATGGATAATAATTAGTTTAAGTAAGAGTATGCAAGTTAAGGATATATAAAGAGGGGAAATATAAAGTGTTAAGTAGACTAAGAAGATATTTTCGTGCTAAAATGACAATTCTGGGCAATGTGCATCGATGCACATTCATTGTGCACCGATGCATCGATGATAAAGCCCAGAAATTGTTTAAGGTGCATCGATGCACATGCAGTGCATCGATGCATTAATTTAAAAAGAAAACATCGAATAGGATTTATGCATCGATGCATAAGGAGTGCATCGATGCATCCCCATTAAATACAAACATCGACTTGGATTTATGCATCGATGCATGGTGTAGTGCATCGATGCATACCTCCATTAAAAGATGAAAATGACTTTTCTTTTAGCCTAAGAAATGATAGTTTAGAATATATTAATTAGTATACTGATAAGTATCAATGAATTACTATGTAGATATCGAGCCTAAACGAGTTTCGGAACCATCAACAAGTAGGATCAATCGAGAGAAAGACAAAGAAATCTAGGTGAGTGCATATGCATAGCATGAATATGTATTTTATTCAGTTCTAGACTTGTGATAAGTCTAGATTCAATATTTTGATACATGATAGTATTTCATATTATGATATATGACATGAATCCATACCATATGCATTATGGGACATGAATATGCAAGAAAAAGTTATATGAGTTATGTGATAAAGGTATGAAAATAATATGTCTACGCGATACAAATTATGAAAGCCCATGTTATGTAAATGAGAACTATGTGATAAAGGTATGAAAATAATATGTCTATGTGGTCCTTCGGGACATATATGTATTCTTTGGAACATGTGTGAAGTTCGGTGAGACACATACTTGATCCTTGGCATATGTATATGATTCTTAAGGAATGATATGTGGTTCTTCGGGATATATATGTATTCTTTGGAACATGTGTGAAGTCTGGTGAGACACATACTTGATCCCTAGTATATGTATATGATTCTTAAGGAATGATATGTGGTCCTTATGGACATTATTATATGGCACTACGGTGTAATTCTACGCGGCACTCTGGTGCAATTCTACGTGGCACTTCGGTGTAATTATATGAGCTGTGGTGACAGCATAGTACACAACCTCACAATACTCACATACATTAGGTTCTCTTTATGGTACCATGGGCTAATGAACTTACTAAGGTGAACTTATGAATGTGAATTTGATAAGTATATGTGTAAGAAACATGGTTCTGGTTATTGCATTGTTTACATACATCTTATCATTGCAACCCATCCCAATTTGGCAATTACTTTATATTTATTGATATTATTATTATATTGCCTCACTAAGTCGATGACTTAGCGTGTGAGTGTTTCACACGTAGGATCCGATAAAGTAGACGATCGAGGTTAAGCAGCTGGACAACATTACTCCTGCAACTATCAGATCAGAAGCAACTTAATCAGTAGGTCATTTTGTTATGAAAAGGGATGTTGGCATGTAACTAAAGGGTTAAGTTGTGTATGCTCTGAGTATTTTGATAAACTTGTATTAATATATGTATATTATTGTATTTTTCTTAATATAAGTTCAAGTATTTTGCTATTATTTGTAAGAGTTGTGTTTTAAAAGTCAATATAATATCTCTGACTCGTATTCGGGTTGGATACGGATTGGGGATGTTACATTGGCACCGAAAATTAGGTGCATAATTTTTTATTATTTTTATATGGTCAAATTACAAACTCTAGTCACTAAAATTTAGGGTATTTACAAGATTAAGTCCTTAAGATTTAGCTATAAATACCCTTATCTCATTTAGCTTCAAAACCATCCCAAAGCATTCTAGCTTTCTTCCAATATTAGAGAGAATTTATAGAGTTTCTTGAGAGTTGTTTTCTCCTTTTTATTAAGAGAGAATTATCATTGTTTTCTCCTTGGTAGATCGAGAGAAGTTGTAATTCCTATTTTCTCATAGTGAAATTCTTCTACCGTTGCCCGTGGTTTTTACCCTATTTATTTAGGGGTTTTCCACGTAAATTTTGTGTCTCTTTTTATCTTTATTTTTATTTTATCAAATTATCATTTTGCGATTTTGCTCTATCCGATAGTCGTCTTCCGCAACAATAGGCGTATATATATGATTGAAAATTACTCTAAGCTTCGTTTACATTATTTATACAATCTTCGACCGTTAGCAAGAATCCAGATTACGGATATTCTAGTTGATTAGTCATTTATCAAACATATATGTAACATACTAATGTATAGGATCGATATTTGATTTTTATTTATATAATTAGTTTTGGGTGCGAGATAAGGCATTCTACTTTGTGTCTTAGTTAATGATTGTACGTAAAATCAGTGTTCTAAAACAAAAACTTTAATAACAAGTCAACCAATAAATAAACGGTAAGAAATAAAGATAAGTTTATTGAATTACGATAAAGATTATTACTTTTATAAATAATTTTTCTCATAACCGGTGTAATCGTAAAATGAAAGTTGCTTTTTTCTCTTCTAAATTAACATAATATTTTTATTTTCATACGCATGAATTAAAAAAATGAAATTTAAGTGAATTACTCTTTTCAAGAGAATGAAAGTAACGAAAATGAGAAAGGAGAAAAAGTAAAAGGAAGAAATATATTTTTTAATGTGTATAAGAATGAAAGAGAAAATGAATAGGCATATTCATAAAATAAGAAGAGAATGATTTTCATAAAAATCTCAACATATGAAAAATTACCCTTAATATTTTCATCAATTTGATTTAATATTAAAAAGATAAAAGTCTAATAAATGAAAATTTCATAAAAATCATATTTACAAAATCCAAAAAAAATATATGCCTTTCGAACACCAACATAAACATAAATCAAATAGTCATTGATAAAATATATGAACGAGTCTTGTCTTTATTTCCAAATACATAAAAATATTAATATCTAATTAATGTAAGATTCATTTATATTATTATCAGTGATTCCATAGTGGCACACACCATTTCCAAAGATGATGAGTTGAAGATGTTATGCTAATTCCAAACAATATATAGACGTTATTTTGATTCGTAATGTTTGGCGTGATTTAAATATATTGAATATTGTTGCTAGAAAATCAGTAAATGTTAACGACAAAGGTAACACCAGTAACCTTGAGTTATCTTCCTTTGTGGCTCGAAAGAGAGAATTAAAGATGCGTTGAATCTATTATAAATTTGAGTCATGGTGGCTGACTTTATGTACGATCCCTTAAAGGTTTTGCAAAAGATGAAAAGTGAAACTCCGTCAGCAACAAATTATGATTACAGTGGTTTAATACGTTTTTATCATCTGTAGCTTTATAGAGGTCAAAAAAGATGTTTGATCTTTTAGTTCCACATTGATTCCTTTGTTGAATGCTTGGTTTTCTCTTTGATATAACGATGATTCCTTATATCGTCCCAACGTCGTTAAAGACAATTTCACATATGGCCATCTCATTGCTGCATTTGAAGGTCACCTGGGCAAAAAACCAAGAAGAAGAAACAATTTGAGCTTCTGTATTGGAGATGCATGTGCTTTTCTCATATGGGCTTTGCTTTTATTATTAAAAACTAGAACCTACTACGTAACTCCACAGGACCAAAGGTTGGGCTTCGGAAATGGATAAAAATAAAAATGCAGTTCACTCCACCCAAATCCAAATACGTTTGCTTAGAATCATGCGACCGACCACTCCCTTTTTTTATATTTCTTTTGTTTCTTCTATCAAAAGACATGAGATTCACCCGAGGTTGATGACAATGGAGTGGCGCATAGGAGGAACATCCACCCACTCCCCGTCTTTAAGAAGCTGGAGTCCACTCACTTGGGCGTCTTGGAACAGCAAGATGATGCCACCGGCATCGGTGTGAGCCCGGAGTCCCTTGATTTTATCCGGTGTCGGGCATGGCGGGTAGTTGCTAACTTTGGTTCCAAATGTCGGACCTCTTGTCCCGTGGAATGCCTTTTTCAAATACCCTTTTTCCAGTCCAAGATTCTCGCACAACAAATCCAGGAGCTCCTCGGCTAGTTTCTCCAATCTCAGAGCAAATTCTTTCATCACTTTCCTGCATTATTTTTTTCAATTTGAACCACTATTTTCCATACCAATCCCCATCTACTAAATATGTGTGTGTATTTATACCTGTATTCATCGGTTAGCTCCGGGATTTCAGCCATGTTAGATTCAGGGAGATGGCGCAAGAAGAATGTGCTTTCCCAGTCCATATCAGTAACCTCGGCCTGGAGACCTTCAAGGGCCTTTCTTGCTACCAATTCCTTAAACCTCTGCTCCATGCATTTCTTGTAATGCTTTTTCGTCAATATTTCAACAGTGTCCAATAAATCATGGGGAATCCCATGGTGCAGGAGCTAAAAAAACCACAAAAGAAACAGTTATTTTTGTATCAGCACAACAAACGACAGAAACAACCATGAAAGCATTAAAAGCTAAAGTAGCTTTTGAAGACACCTCAAATAATCCCCAATTCTCACAGGCATCCTTGATTTGCTCCATGGTTGCTGCTCTCTCCTCGCCGTTAAGCTTCTCTAGGTTGATCACTGGGAAAGTCGCCATTTCTCTTTACAGAGCTTTCCTTTTTTTCTTTTTTTACGTTGAAAATCTCTCAAAGTCTCACTCTTCTGCTTTGGGTGTTATGCAGAAAGCTTATATTTTGTTGATGCAGAGTTGATGAAGGTGTGGGGGGTATTTATAGAGGTTTCCAAGGGTCTTAAGTTTCAGGGTGGAGTGCCAAATTCAACGAAGAAAGAAGGGAAATGGGAAAATAATAGTACAATTATGGATGATTAATTAAATAAAAAAACTCATTTAAAAGTGGACGGAGATGCTGTTTGGGTTAGGCTCAATGTCATTTCATTTGAAAAGTATTTTTCATTTTTTTAATTTTTTAAAAAAAAATTATAATCATTTTACGTTGATTAAAAATTTATGTATGAGTTTGAAAGATGGAGGAAACAAATATTGGAAATGGGTTAAGATTAATTGTATAATATTAAAATATTAAGAGATACTTTCTAAAAGTTATGATCAAATTAAAATAGTATGTAAACATTAATGTTAAATATTTTATAATGTTAGTTTAATTAAATTTTACTTTAATGTCTGTCTAAAATTTCATATTGGATAATTATTTTATAACTTTAAGTAATTATTTATAATTTTTATGTTAAGATGATCAAATATTCTTGATTCTTATAAGTTTGTCTTATAATTTTTGGGCTAATGTTGGGGTTGTCAAATTCAAAAACGGATCCTTGTTCCCTACATCAGCCAACATCCAAAGTAAATTGATAACCACTTCTTTTACAAATAAAATTTCTTTCAAAACTGCGAAAATTAATACTCGTTCCCACTTAAAATTGTGGTTTGTTTCTTGGCCTTAATATTAAATGATAAAAAGTAAAAAAAAAATCAATTTTAGAATAGATAAATGTTGACTCAATTTTAGGCAGCACGCTTCTATTTTATCTTGTTTTATTTGAATTAATGTGTCATTAAGGGGCCGTTTGTTTACTGCTTAATAGAATCATTAACGTTGAATGTTTAACCGTTCAGCATTCAGTGTGTTTGATTCTCACCTCTGAATGAAGACTATGCTGAATGAAACAGCAAAACACTGTTGAATGATTCAACATTAAAGTACATTCTTAATCATTAAGCATCTGGTATTTTATCATAATACTTATTTTTCACATGTTGTCTTATTAAACAATCATATCTTATAATACAGTAAATCATTATGAAGATAAAATGAAAATATTCATAATTCAGATTGTACATTAAGAATCATTATCAAACATCATGTCACATTCATAGTCAATTCATACAGAGCTTTTGAATCATTCAAACCATTAAATCATTCAATCCATTAAATCATTCAACACTTAATCATTTTATTTTATCAAACAACCCTTAATTCTAACATCATTATTATATGAAAAACAACAACCTACATGCGCACGAACTACAATATTTATTGAAATAAACCATTCTACATATTGCTAGCCGCCATGTGGTCGTCGTCGTCTTGGGGGCAAAAACGTGAGAAAAATAGATATGTTTTAATGTGTGATGTGAAATATTATATAAGGAAAAAGAAAACAATATTTTTTCTTTACCATTGTCAATATTTTTTTAATTATGGATGTCCCACATCCTACATATCTAACAAAAATTAATATCGTCGAACGAATAAAATTATGACATATATATTTTTTACATCAGATATTTAACACTATTTTGTTTTTAAAATCACAAATCAAATACCTTTGCTTAAGCTAGAATAATCTCATGCAATTGATTCGAGCTAGAATACACATGTACTATTAACAAGTCTATCCATTGACCATTGTTTATAAATGTCAAAAACGACATCGCAGTAATAATGTTTAAAATTAAACGTTCAACCCTTAATCATTTCATTTTATGAAATTTTAAGAATTAGGCAATACTTATTTCGTTTTTCATCCTATTTATTTGTAATTTGGTCAAACGCAGGGGAAATGTTCAGGTTTCTTGCATTGCCTAGAATATTTAAACCATGAGAAGAATAAAACACTCATGTGAGAACTCGTCGAGTGGTTTTAATAGTAAAAATCAATGTTGTTTCTTTTAAAAGTCATGAGTTCGAGTAGTTATGTCTGTAAGGTATGTGCGTATTGTTAATGATTATAATTTTTTTAACACATTATTTCATAATCACCTTAGATTATTTGGTGGAAAACCCACGTGAAAATCATGCGCATGGAGTCCACGAGTTGAGTTAGCAATATGCATTAACAGATTTTTAAAACCAGAACTTGGTTTAAGATGGTCAGATTATTAACAGCATGACAAAATGATTAAAAAAACTAGAATTTGATTTAATATATCTTTATTTGAAGTTGTCAAAATGAATTTTGGTCACATAAATTAGGTAAAAATATAGCAGTTCGCATATTATATTTTAAATTGTTCTCAGTAATCCCATGTACTAAGTATCACGTATAATTCATAACAAAATCCACCATTGCAACTAAATAAATACTGCTATAAAACTAAATATTTAAAGATAATTAAAACAATCCCACTTAAAAACTACATTAGATAAACAAAACCCACAAGTAAAAATCAGAAACCACAAAGAAATAAACACCCAAAAAAATGATAAATAATCAATAAACAATCTTTAACACGAAAGAGAAAGATGAGTGATGGGCTTTGCAGTGGTTGGGGGCTCTAATCGGATGGGAAATGACAGGTGGTGCTCACGTAAAGTAAATGGTTACATTTTTTTTCTTCAACAGAGGTTCTGTCGAGCAGTTGCGTTCAAAAATATATATATTATTAATAATTAATAAATATTCTAAACATATTCCTAATCACCTTACACTATTAAAAAAATATTATAACTGGGTCAATTGGGTTTATTGAGGCAGGTCTGGAATTATATCATCAATAGGACTGTAGGGCCTTGTGGCCCTTAAAAGTTGTCCAGAATTCATTGATGGGCTTCCAATGAATTGTTTTATAAATAAAAACATATTGTCAATTTGAGATTCAATAACTAATCGAGTGATTAAAGATGTTTGTGATGATTTAGTTTATGTGGGTTCGAACCTTAAATTGAATGAAACTCAATTAAATATAATTTTTGAAATTCTGTATTCTATGTTCTGTAATTTTCGTTACAAATAAAGCTAATTCTAAGATTTTATAAAAGTGATTTTATTTGAACCCTTTTTTTTATAAACATAAATAATAAAATCTTAAATTATTTAGGAATCGCATCTTAAATCAGAATCAATTCAAAAATTAACATTAAATGTTTTTATAGTTGTAAACTCATTTCAACTAACTTAAAAATACTCTTAAAATACTATATTTGGTAGTTATCTAAATTTATTTTATGATAAATTATCATTTTCATTAAAAAATAATAGATTAGATGAAAAGTAAATAAAAATCCATCCATAACCTTAAGGTTTTAACAAAAAAAGAATGAAATGTGTAATACAAGTAGTTCATACTTCCTGTGAATAGGATCCTTCGTCCACACCAAAAAAAAAAGTGAAATATCATTTTCTAGTTACATAATGCATACAAATAATAATTATTTCAATAAATAGAAGTAATTAAAATGGTTAATTTCCAACAAATGGACCTCGTTCACGTGCAAGTATTCCTTAAAATCCCAATCTCGCATATGATATGTTGCATTTTGTCCCTACACAATTCATATACCAAGTTCCTACCCCATCTCACGGAATCGGAATTCAGAAAATGATAAAATATTTTACTCTTAATTTATTTTTTTTTTTTTGGATAATTTATTTTACTCTTAATTTAATAAATCACTTCCTTTGATAATTCTCTATCTAAATATTTCGATATTTATTTAAAGTAATACTAAGTTATTTAAATGTTTTATATTCATATCAGATTCTCTTGAATTTTTAGCGCCGGTCACTTGCTATCTTTTGCATTATCTTTAAGGTTGGTCGCCGGCTGTTGATGTTATTTGATTTTTTTACTTTTTAAATAATTTTATATTTATAACACGTTTTATTCTATTTTATGACACGTTGTATTATGTTTGTATAGTGTTTCTTTTTACATGTTTTTAGTCTTTTCTACTTTTTGTTTGGTTATTATTTCATTTAATTTTGTAGAATTAGATTTGACGTCGCCTCGATTAATCAATATATTACTTATTTGTTATCTTGTTGATATTTCTTGCTTTAGAACCTTGAATTGGATTAGGGTACGCGACTTGCGTTCATAGATAATTATCTCACGATGCTTGATTCTAATTTACGATTGTCAGTGGTTTTCTAATAATTTCATCCATTGTTGTGGTTCATTTATAAATGCAAAGAGATTTGTTTGTATCGATCTTTTGTTTGAGATTTCTGATAGGTTTTTAACCCTTTTTTTTATAAAAGTTAGTTTATGATATCGAGTGATTAGTTTATTGTGTAAGGGTTATAAAAAAATATTCTAATTGTGTATTTTGCTTACGTTTATGGTTGTAAATATTTATTGTAATTTGTGATATTTTATATTTCTTAATAAACTAACTGCTTACATTTACGTAAAAAAAACTTTCATAATTTTCAAAGTGACTATTCTATAAGTACAGAGTATTTAAAGTTATTAATTGTTTTATAATTCTGAAAGGCTTAGATGGTAGACTACACCCTAATTTGTTGTGAAGCAAATTTTTGGTGTTGATTCCATAGCCAAAATGGCTCCCAACCTTAATGGTTCCTTATGTATTCTTCCGTCTCCTCCGTTGCACATAACCGACTGTTTGTATAAGGACTGTCCTGGTCCTCCTTATCTAAAACATTATCCTTCTTGTACTGACTTCTGGCCTCCTTAATATTCCAAAAAAATAAATCTTACATGTATTATTTTACACTTATACGTTGTGTTTTCAGCTTCGGCATTTCCTGTTTTAATATTCAGAGATTAAAAAATAATAATAATGATTTTTCATCATCTAAACTTAAAATTCAATATTTTATTGACGGAAATATTAGCCAGTATAATTTACCATTAACCTTATAACCCATCAAAATCAAAGTCAAACTTCCACCATTAGCAACTTTACATAATAATAGTTCAAAAAATTCTTCTAATGTTGAGTTTATCGTTGAGCTTAAAATGTTAATGTGTTGCCATGAAAAACTGGTTTCATTTTCACCCACCATTCAAATAAAGTAAGAAATATTATTAAAAAAAAGTCTTAATTCACGTTTCTTCCCATAAAAAGAAGATTATGATTATCTTCACCAACTTTGCCAACGTGTACTTGCCAAATTATCCCCACCCTGGCCTCCTAAAAAATTGTTTATTAATTTTTTAGAGGTATTAATAATGATTAGGATAACACGAATTAAACGATCTCAGTGGTGAAAAAGATATTTGTTATCCCTAAAAATCTTGGTTCGAGCACAATATTTATATAGATGTTTGAATATTTATTGTCAAATGATTAAAAATCTTTCAAATAGATACAATATTATAATCACATAATGTAATAAAAAATAATAATTAGGGTAATCATATTTTGGTACCCAAAATTGATTTTAGTGTAGAATTTGATATATATATATATATTATTTAATTAAACACTTAAATTTTACCTATTGATATTAAATTCAGATTGTTGATGAAATTTAATATGTATAATAAATTATTTGTTGGAAATAATTTAAACTGTAAAGGTAAATTTGAATGTCAATTTGAACATAAAGACTAAGTTTCAATACGTAAATAAATATTAAAATCAAATTTATATATTAAATTAAAATATTTAAATATGAAATTACACCTCCAAACAACTGATTACTTTAATGATATAATAAAAAGAAACAGTTAAGCTATAATTGCAAGTTTTAACAATAAATCAAAGGGTAAATTACATGTTTAGTATATAAACTAATAGTTTTTTTTAGTACATAAATTTCAATTTATTGCAAAACCATGCATAACATTTACTTTTTGTTTCGTTTTGGTATATCACCATTAAAAACTTTGTGGAATTGTTAAAACATTGTACTTTTTATGGGTAAATTACATCATTCATCACTCAATCATCTTTTGACTCCTATTTTGGTGACTAAAGTTTAATTTTTTTTAATTTAATTACTTAACTTTCAAATTACTCATAATTTAATCACTCTAACTTCCAAATTTCTTTTTATTTTATTTTAATTATATATTAATAAAATAATGATAAAAATGTCACATCATAAAAATTATTAATAAAATAAATTAGAGTGATTAAAACATGAGTAATTTGAAAGTTGAATAGTTAAATTAAAAATTTTAAACTTTAGTGACCAAAATAGGAGTGAAAAAATAGTTAAGTAACAAAAGATATATTTACCCATAAGAAATGCCACCTGCAACAATTTCATTAAGATTTTAACAATAGATACTAAAGTGAAACAAAAAGTACATTTTATGTATGATTTTAAAATAAGTGAAAGTTTTGGTGCTGAATCAAAATATAATTGATAGTTTATATACTAAATTTGTAGTTTATCCTAAAATAAATTTTAAATCATCTTCAGAGTCGAACTAAAATTCTATTTCTACAAGTCAACGGTCGTTTAAAAAATAGATTTAAAATTTCAACGTGTAAAACGAATTCCTAACTGTCAACGTACCGTGGCTGACCCATTAGCCTACACGGAGTTTACGCACCCTTTTATTTTAGGGTAAACTACAACCATTACAACTTAATTATCATTAGATTCTATTTTTACCATCGATCTTTTATTTTTATCAATAAGATTATTTAACTGTATATCAATCATGCCATCTGTCATTTGTGACGTGATAGTTAAAAAAATTAATCTTAAATTTGATTTATTTAATAAATTTAATTTTTAAATCAAATTATCACATGTATCACTATTTGATTGAAGGGTTTTTCTTAATTTTAATTTATTTAATATATTTTCTTCCAATCAGATGATAATGACAGATGTAATAATTTGAAATGAAGAAAATATTAAATAAATTAAAATTAAGAAAAACAATTGGTATGATGAACTAATTTTGTTTGGGGTTTAAGAAAGGAAAAAGAAATATTGAGTTAGATCATATTGGATATAGACTTAAATATCAAATCTAGTCAAGTTTGAGGTGGATGTTATAACTTGATTTTTTTAAAAAAGCTAAAAATTTAACTAGATCTAACCCGAGCCTATAACTAATTATTAAAAGAAATATCTATGAAATCCAAACATATGCTATAAACAGATATAAAAGGAACAAGATATATTAATAATTCAGAAAGTTTAGCAATTTAATAATAAGACAGACTGATATTAACTAATTGTTCAATTTTGTACAGTAAAGAGACCGGATTACGATAAATAAAAATAGTTTGATCAAGTTTTAAATATTTATAAAAGAGAGGTATGAAATTAATAATTACAGACAATAATATTTAAAACGTGACGTAACTCCTGCGTTTTGACTTTCTCAAGTAGAAATAAGGCCCTCTGTATATTGTAATGGATGGTTTAGGGGCTTGAATTTACAGTTTAACTGACTGTGTTTCATGAATGCAATCCAGCTGGGTACATTTTGTTTCTTTCAAAAAGTAGCAAAATTTATTCCCCCTTCAACGCTTTTCTCGCCCTCGAAAAAAAGTAGAAAAACACTTTTACCCTTTCCCTGCTCTTCTCTCTCTTTCTGCGTGTATTTCTCTTTCTGTCCATTTCCTTTCCTTCCAAGCAAATCCTAGATCTTTTCATTTTTTCAATTTCATCCTTATTCCGCTCTTCACCCGCAAATGCCTACATCGGAACCACCGCAAACGCCGCCGCCGCCAGAACTGTCCGAAGCTCAACCACCGCATACACTTCTAGACTTGATCATAGGCGTTCTCTCTATCCTTCTCCTTTCTTCCCTCACAGTCCGATCTTTCGTCGGACGATGGCAAGTCATCCGATCAAAGCTTTGCACTCTCCAATCATCTCTTTCCTCTATCTCCGAATCTCCTCACTGGAACGACAACTCTTTGCTTCACACTCTTTTTCCTTCCCTTCTCTCCACTCTCCAGCGTTTGAAAGCTCTCTCCGATCAATGTACTCTCTCTTCCTTCGCGGGCGGGAAACTCCTCATGCAAAGCGACCTCGACATGGCTTCGTCTTCTCTCTCTAGCAAACTCCATGACCTCGATTTGCTTCTCAGATCTGGCGTTCTTAACCAGTCAAACGCCATTGTTTTGTCTCAGCCGAGACCTGGCTCTGATAAGGATGATTTGGTGCTTTTCATCAGGGACCTCTTCACGCGACTTCAGATTGGAGGAATCGAGTTCAAAAGGAAAGCTCTAGAATCACTTCTCCAGCTTCTCGACAAGGATGAGAAATCTACTGCTGTTGTTGCTAAAGAAGGAAATTTTGGATATTTGATAAGTCTTCTCGAAGTTAACAGCCAACCTTTGATCCGAGAACAAGCTGTTTTAGCAGTGTCGATTCTGGCCTCTTCAAGTGAAGATTCAAGAAAAATCATTTTCGAAGAAGGTGGATTAGGGCCTTTGTTAAGAATTCTAGAAACAGGTTCCATTCCTTTAAAAGAAAATGCCGCCATTGCTGTTGAAGCTATCACCACCGATCCTGAAAACGCCTGGGCGATTTCAGCTTACGGCGTATCCGTCTTGATAGAAGCCTGTCGGTCTGGCTCCCAACCAACCCAAATCCACGCGGTTGGCGCTCTTCGAAACGTGGCTTCCATGGAAGATATTCGAATGGCGCTTGGTGAAGAAGGCGCGGTTCCTGTTATAGTCCAGTTATTAGTCTCGGGTTCCACCGCCACACAAGAAAAGGCAGCCAATTGCCTTTCAATACTCGCTTCCTCAAGTGAATATTTTCGCGCCCTGATTATACAAGAAAAAGGGGTGCCGAGATTAATGCATGCGATTCAAGATTCATTAAGCTCAGATACAATCGAGCATGCTCTCCGTACAATCAGTTCACTTTCGGTTACAGATTCCATTTCAAGGATTATATCATCTTCAACAGTCTTCATTATCCAATTAGGTGAATTTATCATGCACGGAAACATGATTTTACAACAGATTTCAGCTTCTTTATTGTCAAAATTGTCAATTAGTGATGGAAACAAGCGAGCCATCTCTAGTTGTATGTGTTCTTTGGTAAAGTTAATGGAATCTCCAAAGCCAGTGGGTTTACAAGACGCGGCGGTGCAAGCAATTGTTTCCCTATTGACTGTCGGATCAAATAGGAAGGAGCTGGTTAGAGATGAGAAGAGTGTGATGAGATTAGTGCAGATGTTGGATCCGAATAATGAGGTTGTTTCTAAGAAGTACCCATTAATGGTGTTGACCGCCGTGTTAGGCGGAGGAAGCGATGGTTGTAGGAAAAGACTTGTGGCTGCCGGAGCAGCTAAACATCTCCAGAGTCTAACAGAAATGGAAGTCGCCGGAGCTAAGAAGGCGCTTCACAGACTTGCTAGGAGTAGATTCAAGACCATTTTCAGCCGGACTTGGAGGGATTAACCAGAAAAAGATACTAACCCCGCGCCAACGAAGGTACGTTTGCCCTTTTACGAGGTTATAATTGGAAATTAGTATTCTGCTAGGGTTTTCATGAATACTTAATTTTTAGCGCGTCAGTAACTGTCCTTTATTTTAGCGCCATTCATTCGCATTAAAAGTACTACGTTACCCTTTTCTTGCTCATGTTCTAATCAAGAAATATTACGACTAAAACTTTCAAGCTAAAAGGTGTTTATGACTTCAAATTAACTTTGTAATAATATGTAAAAAGAAACGATGTCGTTTTAAATTGCCTAGGAACTAAATTAACGGAGCAGATATTGTAGATACGGTTGTGGCACGTGAAAGTGAAACTTTTTCCCCGTGATTCATGTAAAATATATTTTTTAAAAATTCATATTAATAAATTAATTAATTTTTTCCCGTGACTCATATTAATCCGTGTTTTGAAAATCGGTCCGGATCGGTCGATTCAACCGGTTCAATCGAGAATCGTTATCTAGTCTGATTCAATCTACACCGGTTGAACTGTTACTAGTGAACCGGTCGGAACAGTCGAATCGTTCAAACCGGACCGGTTGAAAATCGGGAAAAATCGTCAATTTTTTTTATTAAATTAAACCAAACGGCGTCGTTTGTTAAACAAGCCAAGTCGAACTCGAGTATTGCTGAGCTCGACTCGAACTTGAAAACTTAAAAAGTAAGCTCAACTCGACTCAAACTCACGAGCTAAAAATTATCAAGTTCAACTCGAACTCGAAAAAGCTTGAACTCAAAAAACAATTAGAAGCCCGATTGAAGCCTAAAATTCGAGCTTGATTAGTGAAAGAATAGTTCACTCAATGTTCACCAGGCTCCATGATTTTGAATGCTAAATTACCTCTATTATTTATAGAAGATAGTTGGGATGTTCTTCTATGTTTCTTAGCCATGTGAGATTGTTTTGTTCTCATATTTTTACTCTTTAGACTTTTAGAATGCTCTTTTATGTTTCTTAGTCATGTGATATTGTTTAAAAAAAAATTAAAACAAACAATATCATTTTGTTATGGTTTTTTTAGCCCCAAATTTATTTTTTAATTATAGTTATATAATTATATTTATTATTTAATATGTTTTACCTTAAATATTATGTTGTAGTTAATTTGAATCATTTTGTTTCACTTGATTTTATGATTTTTAACTTATATATGTTATGACTTGCTTTGAATATGACTTGTGATATAAAAAATTATTTTTTATTAAATATTTTTGATATTTTTTTAAATTTTTTAAATAATTATGATCGTTCGGTTCGGTTCTTAAAACCATGATATTAATCATATTGCAGGAACAGAAGTTCGTTCGGAATTTTCTAACTGTCAGAAGGATGAGGAGCTACTTTGAAGGAAAATGCAACCAACCATACCACTTTATACCATAAAACTTTTTTACGTCATAATATACCATTTTCGAGAAAAAAGGTATGCAAATATAAAATATTAATGTTATCTTTAAATTTTATATGATGACCCAAAAAAAAAAGACATGGATGCGGTTTTTAGGGAGTATCCTCGTTATGTTTTTCATTTTTATTTTTTATTTAATATTTGATTCACTCGTGAAGATGAACTGTAAGAGGGAAGTTATGACGATTGTCACGTTTACTACCCTCGTTGTTTTTTTTATTATGTAATGGACTCTGTTTTATTATAAGTTGTAAATTACTAGTTTTTGTTTGTAATTTTTCCAAATATCGAAAAAAGAGCGCAGTTCTCATTCATTTATGCTTGCAGTAGTTTTATTAATGTTGGTTGATTCCAAATGACGAAATTGCTTCTCTTTTTTTTCTTTTCTGTAATTGGTTTAGGGGTTATGGATGATCATAGTAAAGATGATGAGTCATTTTCGTCCATCAGATTTGGTAATGATGGGTAGTGGGTTCAGATTTGGTAATGATGGGTTGTGGGTTCTTTACTTCCACACTCTGTATGCAATCTTGAAAATGAATGTTCAGCTTAGGGAAGCAGACATGATGAAGATTTGTTTAATCTCACGTACCACTTAGTTTAGAGGTGTAAAATAAATGGAAGTATCAAGTATATACGGAGAATGGCCTGGAGTGACATTAAGAATCTCAAAACAAAAACCGAGCCATAACTTTGCATTAATAAATTATTTACTGCCAAGTGTGTGTGCAACTCATGAATAAATTTATTCATGGTCGACAGTCGGTTTTCATGCTAGTCAAATGATAATGTATACTAGGTGCGATTATGTGGGTTTTGTTAATTCAGATTTTTATGTGAAGGGTAAATTACATTGAGTATCATTGATTTTTTTATTATGTATCGATTTTGTTATTGAATTTTAAAATGTTTTAATTTAGGGTAAAGAATACAAATGGTCTCCCGACCATAACATGTTGCTTTGTTGAATACATCGACTATTAAAAGTTACAAAATAATCACATGACTATTCATATGTTCTAAACTCGTATCTTTTCGTTAAAAAATTAACAATTGTCTAAGGTGGACGTTAAAATGATGGCTGAGATAATAATAGTCGTTTTAGATTCTAGGATATTAATAATAAAATTGCATGCAAATGGTAATAATAAAAAACTAATAATCAAAATATCATGTGCATACAATATGCCTAGGGCACTAATACTAACACACTCAATAAAGCAACATACTATAGTCGAGAGATCATTTTGTATCTTTTAATAGTTGAATGACTTAATAAAGCAATACTCTATAGTCGAGGGACCCTTTATATACTTTACACTTTAATTTAAATACTAATTTTTATCTAAATTTGACAATAATAATAGTATGAGTTGACAATTTTTTACAATATCAAATTAATACGTAAACTAAAGTTTAACAATTAAAATTGAAATACTTTAATGTTTAGAGACAAGATTAATATAGAAAGTAAAGTTTGATAGTTAAAATTGACACATTTTAAAAATTTATTACAAAAATTGATACACATTAAAATTTACATGCAATAAATGACCATATCATCACACCATTAATGTTTTGATGACATGATATATCAATTAAATATAAAATAAAAATTTAATGAAAAATTAATTTATTTTTTTAAGAAAAACGATATAAAGTTCAATAAATTTTTAATTTATTATTAATATTATGGTATGATGATTTTGTAAGGATATTATTTGTTTTTAATTACGGAATAACATCTTAATTTTGTTTATAATGTTAATTTTGTTTATGAAAATGTATAATATATTTGTCATAGTTTCTAAAGCTAGATTGGTATGAAAATACCCTACCTGTTTCCAGCAAGCGGATACCCTCGTCTCATAGACGGTGTGTCAACAACCTGTAAAGGTTCTCTCTTTGCATCTATAATTCACCCTTTTTCCCATTTTCTTTACTTTCCCAACTCTTCGCTTCTTCCTATAATCCATGTCTACAAACTTAATATATTCTTTCTATCATTCTATATAACTGTGGATTATTCACATAAAATGACAATACATAAATTCAGAATAAAAAGATAATTGATGAATTACGATCCTCTATATTTCGATGATATATATTGTACACGCATCTCTATGAATAATTTAGGAATATAATATAATTTTAAAATTATTTATAGTATAAATTGTAAGTTAACTAGACAAAACCACGAGTGCAAAAAAGAAAAATCACATAACTTATTAACATACAATTACAACATTACAAACTGCAAACATTTCAATAAAAAATACCATTCCCGATCATTATCAGTTATCACTCACTGGCAAACTACTCCTTTGCATGGAATGTTGAGGTGCAATACTTTCTATATGAATTATTTTAGGAGTAAATTTTTTTTATATAATTTATATTTTTCCCCTCATGAAATATATCTTATTTTCATTTTACATCTTAAATTAGAAATAGAAGAATGATAAACAGATGATTCTAATGTAGAATGATACTTGTCTGTTATCATCTAAGGCATTGTCCGATGTTCACAACAAAGGGCAACGGACTAGAGATATATAATACCTTGTTGGGCCCCAATGACTGCGTGAAGCTTGCGGATTTTGGAGTATCGGTTTCGTTTTACCAACCTTCTTCCACATTTATCGCCATCCATGGAACTCATCTACCCCTTTTTTAAAAAAATTCTCCGCCACAAAGATCTCCATTATCTATAAATTTATCTTTTATTATATTTTATATATTAAAAATTATGTTTGAGATATACTAAAACTAAAACCGAAGATTTTAATAACTTCAAGAGCAAAATACCCCTACTTTCATTTGAACTCTATCATTATTTTGTAATATAATAAAAAAAAAAAGTGATATATAATTCAAATTTTATCTCTTCTCCTACTTGATAAGAATGATCACTACTATATAAAGGATCATCAGAATAGGTATACAATATATCTCTCATTCCTTTTCTTCATTAGCTGTTAAAAGCCTCCATCTAGTTAACGTTATTTCAAGGATCTGTAAGTTTTTTTAACCTTCGTTTCTTTTGTTGTTTTTTAACGTTCTTTTATTTCTTTGTTTATTATGGATTTATGAATTGTTTAATTCGGTGATTTGTGAGATTTTCTAATATTCATTGTATTATTAATTGAAATCTTCTCATTGTAGTTGTAGGTAGATTTTAAATAGATTAAATCATGTGAGCGTCTTTATGAACAAGTGAACTAATTATTTGGGCAAAGAGATTATATTATTAGGGTGTTTCTTTGAATAACTATAACTAACTATTCGAAAATAGTTTAGGTAATTCAAAGTTGAGATCAATGATCAAATCATTAATTAAATTCTGTAATTTACTTTGACTAAATATCCTATCATAATTGAATTCTAGTTCATTTTAAAAAAGTAATCAAGTCTTTTACTATATTTCGTATTATGTAAAACTTCCTTTTATTTATTTATTTACTTATATAAAGTAATATAATATTATTTTTTATTGATTCTCAGTATTGTAAAATTTAATTTTGTAGTTTTGGACAATCTATCCGAATACATTGTTAGAGCAGAAACAATGACATCAGTGGAGGAGTTATTGGCATATAGACGAGATTTGGATGTTGAAATGGAAAAGTTGTATAAAAGTTATGGATTTAAACCGGTGAAGAAACAAGTTGAAGGGATACGGGAAATTAGGAGCCTGGAGATGCTGGAACAGAAGTTAGAGGATACAAGGAGAAGTAACAGGGAATTGCTGGTGAAATACAAATATTTGCTTTTTGGTGCATCAACTGCTGGTGCAGACAAAATAATTGAATTCTTGATGACATTTAAGGACAAATCTTTGGAATCTGAAGTGGAATTCTATCATAAATTGTTGAAGTATGGGTATAATATCTTTGAAAGGCGTCAAGTTAATCCCAAGTACAAAGATGATGAAGAGATTCAGAGGCTGGAACAGGAGTTAGAGGATCAAAGGAGAAAGAACATTGAATTGCTGCTGCTATTAAATTCTTTGGTTTTTGGTGCATCACCTACTGGTCTCAAATTTATAGTTGGGTTTCTCAGGTGACTGAATTTCCACCCTACTTTTCTTGCGTTTTTCCACAAACAAAAACAATAACAGGTTGTTTAAGGAGTTATATCCTTTTTGTTTTGTTTCAAATATTCAACATCATTTAAGTTCTTGGAATTTTCTTTTAAATGCTTTTTTTATTATCAAACTTTATGGTGTTTATTTATAAATATTTCATTTTTTTGGTCTAAAAGAATCTAGATATGGAGTCGATTGTTTAGAATTTAATAGGCAGGCAAGTTGACAAAAACCCTTTGTTCCTATACAGCAGAGATGGACGGGGACCTTAAAAGCACATGGAATCAGCCCTCCAAACTTTTCTGCTGCCTTTAACAACATTATCCTCTGCTTTTTAAACCATGTATTTATATCGACAAAATAGATTCCTTCTATCACCACATTATCATGACACCTTGTATATGTTATTTCCGGTAAATAAATTAAAATATAAACCATAGTTAATTGAGAATTAGGAGATTAACACAAATTACCCTCCAAAAATAATTGATTTGGATATAAAATCGCAGGTAACAATGTTAATTTTAACTCATATTTCAAATTTCAATATGATTAGTAAAAGAAAATATCAAAGAAGTAAAGCAAAGCACCGCAGAAGATGAGGATCCAAGGTAGCTTTTACTTTTGGACATAATCATTCTTTTGATCAACATTCCTTGTGATTTTGAGCTGATAATGTCGAAATATTTCAATGTGAATGGGGTTTACGTTTTATTATTGGTAACATGCCCCACACCTTTTGAGTTATTAAATTTGTTGACGATCAATATTCGGCTTACAAAGTTGGGCGTCTTTCCTAATGTTCTCTTCGCTGGAATCCAATGTAAACCAAACCTCTTCATTTATTTGTACATTTTTATTATATTATATGAAATGATAACATGTTATATATTTTATTAAAATCCACTTATAATATATGGTCAATTTAAGATATTATATTGAGATTTCTGAACGATTTTGATTTCAATTTTACAAATTTTCTATTAACATATACAATCTTAAAAACATCTATGTTAATTAAAAACCATAGATAAGTAAAATATTTTTTTTTATCAAAATCGAATCTTCCTAATATGATACAAACTAAAATTAATTAAAAATATAACGACAGTAACAAAGTTATAAAATTAATACAAATAAGGGTTATAAATACACATGTGCCTACTAAAGAAGCAAGTATTGTACTATGAGCATAAGGTGCTGATGGTCCCTTGCTTCCTAGAATATGAACAGAAACGATTCGAACGTTAAGCTCAGTGTGCATCATGGTTGGAGGATTCTCGACCCTTTTATTCTTGTCAATTTTTTTAAGACTCATATAACAATTATGGATCTTTTGGAGGTATTTAATAATATTTTTAAAGCTTTCGTAACCATCATAATTGATATTGAACGGGTGATATTGCTAATTTTATTAAGACGTCGATATCAAATTAGCATACAAGAATTGCACTAAACCAAATAATATCGAATCATCTTGATGCTATAGTTATTATACAAGTAATATTGATACTTCAAGAGTGAGTGTAGATCGGACCTTTAGATTTTGACCAATCTTTTAACAAATTTTCATATAATAATGATTCCATAACATGCTTATCACCAAAAAAATATATAAACTTGTATTGTATCTACAAATATTATATTTATAAATTTCATGAAACATACAATGCGGAATACAACCGATAGTGTTCATATAATTTATTTGTATTCAACTCTTGTTGAATTGATATTACCTAATTGGATAAAAGCATATAGTACATAAGATACAAACCCATAAAAATCACGAGCCAAACCTAATTGATATTACCTTTAGAATTCTTGCATTGGTTAGAAGTATTCTCAACTAAACTAGGTTATTGGTTCTTTGGCAATGAAACTTTATTTATTCGTCATAGAGTAGCTGCAACTAACTCATGATAACATTAAAGTCCAAAAAGAAGATTAATTTATACACCAACAGAAGTCGGAATAATTTCCTAATAAACCCAACCAAAATACATAACAACAGTCATCATCACCCCACCCTAAAAACTAAAAATAATTGAACAGAAGCAAAACTAAAATTAGGTTTCCTGTTTTCAGATCTTCAACCACTCCTTTCTTCCAAACCCTTTACGCTCCCTCTATTTCGGGTTTCGCTTCAGTATCCGGTTGGAAACTCGCAATTTCCGTACTCTGGAAAAAAATATCACACACTTAATTCGATAAAAATATAAATATAAGGTCTAGAAATACTCTGAATGGCAACAAATTATTAAGTTAATTATTGTGTCACGTGCCCGACTCAAATAGGACAACAATTATAGCAGTGGCTCACTCGCAGCGCAGCTGTACCATTAATGTTTATTTAACACGGTTAAACTCAGCGGGGCCCGCCGTAGAACCCAATGGGTAAACACCACGTCAGCATTTGAAAGGCTCCGAATTCACTTTCACCACAAATCACGTGGGTTTTTTTTTACCTGGCGTGCAGTACGCACTTAGGGGAGTTGTGGACCACTCCCCCCCTCAAGCTCCCGCACTGTGCACGTTAGCTACTCCACTTTACATCTCAATAACAAGGACCTTATAAATTCAACAGTTTTTTTGCGCCGAATTAAATAATAAATAATTTTTTTAAAGGGAGAGAGTGATATAATACGCACTAGGAGGTTGAGTGACGACGAAGGCTGCCCCGCCAAAATAGCAAGTTCCCATCTTCCGTCCATTCTTTTGGTAATAACTGTTGAACGCGAACGATGCGTGGGCCTCTATTGTGTTGGGATTGTAACACGTGGCACCAGTCTGGATCGGATGGCAATCTGCACCTCCTTCCCCGCAAGCGAAATCTAGAGCTGCCTGTAACTTCTCTTTTCCAGCTTCACCACTCGCAACGCACCACGTGTTCCCCGTCTTACTCTTCGACACGCCCCCTCCTCCTCCTTTGGCTGTATCCCCTGCCCCTGGTTGGTTCCCGGTCACCGGAGACGGTCTATCGTGGTAATTCTTCAAACCTTCTACAGTGAAAGGGATGTCGTAAACTTTTTCCTCGTTCGGGTAAAAAAGCCCGTAGTTCCTTTCCGATGTAGGTCCGAATTTATTGTTTTCGTTGAAAAGGGCAAACAGAAAAACTGTGAGATCTGCTTTGGGTCTCAAAGGGGTCCCACCGCCGGTCAGGATCCGACGGATCAGATTCCCATTATAAGCGGCGGCGTTTTGAATACTAGCTCCGTTCTCATTCTCGTCCCCTTTCGAGGGCCAACCCGTTTCCGTGACAACCAATCGAATATCATCATATTTCAAAGCAGACATTGCGGCGAAAACGGCGTCTATTTGAGCATCGAACAGACTGAAATACCTCAACCCGTTACCCGCATCCACCACACCCGGGTTCTCTCTAAACAAAGCGTAGTCCAACGAGATGACGTCAGTGTTGGACTCATAAGCGAAGAAAGGGTAAGCATTGACCATGAGGAAAGAGCCGGTTTGGCGAAGGAAATCCAACATGGGTTTGAAAACGGGCTCGATGAGTTCGGGTCGGAAAGATCCGGCTGAAGAAGGGTAAGAGTTTTGTAGAGCGGAAAGGGCAATCGGGGAAGAGACTTTAATATCCGAGTGAAGGTTTAACTTAACCAAAGCTTCGTGGATATTCTTCATGGCAGGAACGAGGAACTTGGTGCTGTTGTGTGGATCGACGAAGACTTCATTACCAACGGCAATGGCTTCTATTTCAGTGTGAGGGTAGTGAGCGGCAACGTTTCGCTGGACCCAAGTTTTAGCGAATGAAGTACTCTTGGCGGCGGCGAAGAGTTGCCCGTTTGGAAGGTCGACGGTGACTTTGATTCCGGATCCGGATAATGCATGGAGAACAGCCGGGTCAGTGTCGTAAACTTTGACACGGTTGAGACCTTGGGATTTGAGTAGTTCCGCTACCTTGGTTGCAGGCGGGAGGTTGTTGGCGACTCTTCCATAGTTAACTCCAATAGAACCACAATCTACAAAACAGCAAGAATAAATGCGTCACCTGGGAGAAACAGAGAGACAAAAAAGAAAAGATGGAAATGAGGGTTACCTGCACTACTGAAGAAAGCAGAAATGAGCAAAAGAGAGAACGAAAGTAAAGAGGGCACCATTGCCATGCTCTATTGTTCTTTGAGCAGAAATTGAACGGAGGCTTGAAGAGGGTAAATGGTAGGGGTTTGATATTAAAAAACAAAAAAAACTAAAGAGAAGATCGGGTGTGTGAGTGGGTGAATAGTGTATTTAGGAGATCGAGAAGGTTGGGCGGACCCATGTGTCAGAAGTAATCGACAATTACATGAGAGAGGAAACTCGGGCCGGCAGTCGGCAGACTCTGCACGGACCACGATCTCCCCCACTTCTTAATCTTCATTTCGCTGTTGGTGTCGGAAATTTATATTTTCGCAAAGCTTTTTGAAGAGGTTTCTTTTTTTAGAATTTTTTGGTTTGTTTAAATATGATTCTTGAAATTATAATTTGCAAGTGTTTAGTTTTTTTTTGTAAATATACATATATTTAATATTTTATTTTTAAAAAATTATATGATATTTATTAAAATTTTCTAATAAATATGTTATAAATGATATTCTTTCATCTTTCTCTTTTTTATCATTCGATTGACTGGGGAAAGAAACTTAAAAATAAAGGAAAATTTTTAAAAATTTGTTCGTCTTCTACAATCCAAAGTCAAAAATATTTTGATAATTCTTTTTGTTTCTGATGCATTAAATCCGATACATGCTTCTTCATTTTTATGTTTTTTTTAATATAGATTGTGTCCTATAAATTTGTCTAAAACACTTGGATTACGGAAAATCTATCCATGTAAAAATAAAATCAAGATTTCAACTTTTTTAAAAATCGATTTCAAAATACTTTGATTTCACTTGTAACACTGGCATAGTGAAAAAGTTACAATAATTGAAAAACTCACCAGTCAAAATATTTTTTATGAATGAACAGAAAAAGATTACAGAATAAATAATAAATATTTTAATAAAATATAAACTCCTAAAATAAATAAAATGTATAACTTAAATATTTCATATTTAAATAAATAATTTTTAAAAAGTTAACTATATAGTATTGGGGATTTTAAGTTTGATTTTTATATATGTATTGGTTGCATTAAGAATTTTACTTTACAAATGTTTATGTTAATATTTTATCTGAGTTTTTACATATTTATATTTATGTTTATGTTTATGTTTATGTTTATGTTTATGTTTATGTTTATGTTTATGTTTATGTTTATGTTTATGTTTATGTTTATGTTTATGTTTATGTTTATGTTTATGTTTATGTTTATGTTTATGTTTATGTTTATGTTTATGTTTATGTTTATGTTTATGTTTATGTTTATGTTTATGTTTATGTTTATGTTTATGTTTATGTTTATGTTTATGTTAATATTTAATATTATATTTATATTTATATTTATATTTATATTTATATTTATATTTATATTTAATATTAATTAATATATTTTAAATAATTTAAGGTGATTGTAAATAATATCTAATTAATTTCTTATTATTATTAATATACATATTTTACAAACTTAATTATTCAATCATAAAATTCTTAAAGAAGACGATAGAATATTTTATTATTAAGATTTCAATGAGTTTTAATATTAGTTAGTTTTAAATTTTAATTATTTTTATATAAAACATTCTCGTAGTTAGAGAATTACGGAGACACTAGTCAGAGGTTTGAAGTTGAAAAACATATTTATATTTATATTTAATATTAATTAATATATTTTTAAATAATTTAAGGTGATTGTAAATAATATCTAATTAATTTCTTATTATTATTAATATACATATTTTACAAACTTAATTATTCAATCATAAAATTCTTAAAGAAGACGATAGAATATTTTATTATTAAGATTTCAATGAGTTTTAATATTAGTTAGTTTTAAATTTTAATTATTTTTATATAAAACATTCTCGTAGTTAGAGAATTACGGAGACACTAGTCGGAGGTTTGAAGTTGAAAAACATATTTATATTTATATTTAATATTAATTAATATATTTTTAAATAATTTAAGGTGATTGTAAATAATATCTAATTAATTTCTTATTATTATTAATATACATATTTTACAAACTTAATTATTCAATCATAAAATTCTTAAAGAAGACGATAGAATATTTTATTATTAAGATTTCAATGAGTTTTAATATTAGTTAGTTTTAAATTTTAATTATTTTTATATAAAACATTCTCGTAGTTAGAGAATTACGGAGACACTAGTCAGAGGTTTGAAGTTGAAAAACATGGCAACATACCACGTGCCCCTCAACGTGCTCGACCATTATTTATGTATTTTTTATGGAGAGCAAAATTCCATTCAATCTAAAAATTATTTTTTTAATTTAACTTAATTTAAAATATTTAACTTTAATTGATTTTAAGTTATAATTTTATAAACTCGACTCGATTTAAATATATTTCAAATTTAATTCGTGTTATAAAATACAATTCGAATAACTTAAAAATTTTAGAAATTAATAGATTTTTTTCAAGTTTGAGTCTAGGACCTCAACTTTGCATTGATATATGTATATTATATCTAAATAAAATATGAAGAAATATATATGTATTATATATTTATATATGAGTATAAAAAATATTTAAATTAGAATCAAATAGTATCATAATATTATAAATATTTATAATTAAATTTAAATATAAACTCAAAAATTCGACTTGACTCGAATTATATAAACTCAATTTAACTCGAATAAATAAAATAAATTTGAATTATAAAATAAAACTCAATAACTCGAAAAACTTAAAAAAAATTAGAGAAAATCGCCTCAGTGACCAAAAATACCTTATAATATACGATTTTAACCAACTTTTTTTGGATTTGCCAAAATGACCAATAAAATCGCAACGCGATATCAAAATCGCAACGCGATTTAGAAAATCGCAACGTTAAAAAGAAAATCGCAACGGTCAAAAGAAAATCGCAACGCGAGCTTCCAAGTTCGCAACGCGATTTAGAAGAAAATCGCAATGCGATTTATAGAATCGCAATGCGATTGAGAGAATCGCAATGCGATTTAGAAGAAAATCGCAATGCGACTGAGAGAATCGCAATGCGACTGAGAGAATCGCAATGCGATTTATAGAATCGCAATGCGATTGAGAGAATTGCAACTCGATTTAGAAAATCGCAACGTTAAAAAGAAAATCGCAACGGTTGTCAATATCATTATTCTTCATAAGTTATCATCCATTACAATATGAATTATCGATAATAAATTAATTCATTTTAATAAGTATTTAAAATTATAACTTGATAAATACATGAAATAATTCTATTATTAAATAAAAAATATATTTTTTATATTAAAATTATTGAGATAGATATTTACTATAAAAGTAAAAGATTTTTTTTTCACGTACAACCTCTATGTGAATTAGTTTCACAATAAGGTATCAGTTATGCATTGGATTCTTTCGTATTAGATGGTCTTTAATAAGATCATCATCATCATTCTTTTGTTCAACAATACCATATATTAATGAGGTATATTGGTTCATTAACACGACTAATTCATATTGTAATGGATGATAACTTATGAAGAATAATGATATTTGGAACAAGTGTTGGTAATGCTCAATCCCACATAGTATTGGAAATACTATTGGGAATGGTATTTAAGGCTTGTATTTTGCACTTCCTTGTTGAGTGAAAGAGGACAAGGGGGACTCTCGCGCGCTGCCGCCGCCGCCGTCTCGTCTCGGGTCGGGTCGTGGTCGTGGTCGTGGTCGTGGTCGTGGTCGTGGTCGTGGTAATACGTGTCTTCGACACGTCCGCGCGGATACTATCTTTTTAGAGAAAATTCTTAAGAAACAAAATTTTTTTAACTATTCTTTTGACCGTTGCGATTTTCTAAATCGCGTTGCGATTCTCTCAATCGCATTGCAGTTCTCTCAGTCGCATTGCGATTTTCTTCTAAATCGCGTTGCGACTCTCTCAATCGCATTGCAATTCTATAAATCGCATTGCGATTCAATCAATCGCATTGCGATTTTCTTCTAAATCGCGTTGCGAACTTGGAAGCTCGCGTTGCGATTTTCTTTTGACCGTTGCGATTTTCTTTTTAACGTTGCGATTTCTAAATCGCGTTGCGATTTTGATATCGCGTTGCGATTTTATTGGTCATTTTGGCAAATCCAAAAAAAATTGGTTAAAATCGTATATTATAAGGTATTTTTGGTCACTGAGGCGATTTTCTCAAAAATTTAATCAATTTGACTCGATCAAACCCAACTTTTTTATCTCAACGCTATGATTTCAGCACCGCACCTGTGCCCATTTCGTCCACGTTTACTTGATCATAGGAGGATCGATCAATCCTAAGTCTTATTGATCATACTTCACATCTAAAGTCTCTAGATCAGAGACGGCTTCCTTGAATGTGGTCAGATGCTCTTCAAGAGACGAACCTTCCGCCAACTTGAGTGAATAAAGACGATGCTTTAGGTGCAACATACTGATCAATGATTTATACATGTAAAGTTGCTCTAATTTCGCCTACAAAGATATAATTGTTTTTTCTTTCAACACATCTTATAAAATTTGATTTGATAAGTGTAAACAAACCTGAGAAAAAGCTTTACGATCCTTACGTTTTTCCTCATTCGTCAATTGTGTTACTGACTTTTCATCAAATCCTTCTATTGCATCGTCGAGATATAATTATGCAAGAACATTCCAAATCTTCACTTGCCATAGCAAGAACCTGATGTTTCAATCCAACAGCGGAATGTCATAATCTTGAACCCAAAACTCTGATATCAGTTTGTTATAATATCGAAACGACGATTATGAACAAACAAATAAATACGATCGAAAAGGAAAAACAAATAATACCAGAATTTACGTGGAAAATCCAAAAATGAAAAACCACGAACATAGAAAAATAATTTGACTAATATGAAGGAATAAAATAAAAGAAGATTTTGATAAAAGAAAACTTGATTTTTAACTGTAATACTTAATATATATTTATAAAAATATATACTTGATTACAAAGAAAAATTAAATAAAGTAAAAATCTACTTTAATAAAATTTTGTACTTTTAATCAAATTGAGATTCCTCTTGATTAATGTATTCGGCTTTACAATCCTTACGCTTTTCCTCATTCGTCCATTGTGTTACCGACTTTTCATCAAATCCTTCTATTGCATCGTCGAGATATAATTGTGCAAGAACATTCCAAATCTTCACTTGCCATAACGAGAACATGGTATTTCGATCCAACAGCGGAATATCATACTTCATTGTTCATAATCTTGAACACAAAACTCTGATACCAGTTTGTTATAATATCGAAACGACGATTATGAATAAACAAATAAATACGATCGAAAAGGAAAAACATAGAATATCAAAATTTACGTAGTAAACCTAAAAATGAAAAACCACAAACATAAAAAAATAATTTTACTAATATGAAGGAATAAAATAAAAGAAGGTTTTAATAAAAGAAAACTTGATTTTTAACTCTGATCCTTAATATATATTTATAAAAACATATACTTGATTACAAAGAAAAATTAAATAAAATAAAAATATACTTTAATAAAATTTTATACGTTTAATCAAATTGAGATTCCTTATTATTAATGTATTCTGCTCTTTTTCTCACCACTTCTACAGTGCAAGATCAGTAGCCCTTCGCAGCTGACTGTGTAAGGATTTCATGATTCCCGATGTTGATCGTTGGGATGCATCCTTGATTCAACGGGTCTTTTCTCCTTTGGACACCTGAGCGATATTGAATTGTCCTATCTCACCGGTTGCATCAGATGTTCTTCTTTGGAGTTGACACTCATCTGGCTCTTACTCTGTTCGTTTCGATTATGAACTACTATGACGGTAACATAGTGAATCTATTCAAGTCTCCAGCCTCTGACTTTACTTATATCGACTACCTACGCTACCACGAGCTCGTTTGTTCGGATAGAGAGCTGCGCAAGAAGCGCTTACAGTTGGCCGCCGTCTATTCCTTGTTGGTCTGACTAACACATATTGCTATTTACGTGGTGCGACGGAGGAGACAGTGTATCACGTTTTGCGTGATTGCCTGAAAGTTCAATCTATATGTATGCTTATTGAATTTTCCACTGTTGCTCCTACTCATATATCCCGATTCACTACTTTCATTGTCTTACTTTGGAAGATATGGTATTGTCGGTCTCTATTTACATGAAGGCCAATACCTACCAGGCGGACAAATTCTTACATATGCTGAGGCGTTACAGTCGTCCAACGCTGCTGCTAGTCTGCTACTACGTCTCCCTCCCTAGTGGTCTCATCGACATCCTTATCGTTCTATGCGTGTAGATGGAAAAAACCTCCTCCCGAGACTTTTAAGATAAATGTTGACGGCGCATGTCCGATGCTTGGAAGTTCCCCGACTGTCGGGTCCTTGTCCGTGACTGTGCTGGTGCAGTTGTTGCTGGCTCTCAGGCCCCCGTGACGTTGGTATTATTGAAGCTAACGTGATTTGTCATGAGATTCGGATTGCAGTCAAAATGGAGTATCCAAGTATAGTTGTCGAGAGCGACTCCCTGGATGTGGTACGCCAGTTGGAAAATCCAAAATCTTATTGCTCGGTGCTTCGCTTTTATCTTATCGAGGTTTGCCGATTGCTTGACTATCATTCCTAAGTACGCGGATTGCGTTGTTCAGTCTAGCTAATCATGTTTCTAAATTCTGTGTCGTTATATTTTGATTATGTTTTCTGTTAATGAGTGAACAACGTATTTTCCTTTTTTAAAAAAAAGGAAAATACAAAGAAGATGGTCCAGTAATACTTTTACACGTCATTAAATTAAAGATTAAAAAACAATAGACTGTTGCGGTGGTGCCTTGAAATCAGGTATTTGATATATCGATAAGAAAACCTAATTCTATAAAGGATCGAATTAGTGCGGAATCGGAACCAGAAATCGCTTAGACCAAAACAACATCAAGAAGAAGAAGAAAATGTCGGAACCGCAAGAGGAAGATAAGAAGCCCGGCGACCAGTCCGCCGCCCACATCAACCTCAAAGTCAAAGGCCAGGTCTTTAAAATTCTCATTTTTTACTTAATATTGAGAGATTAATTGTCCTCCGATTTCCGTTTAATTTGTTTGTTTGGCTGTTTAGAAAAATATCCGCCACATAGAAAAGTATGCTAAGACGGATCAATATTGATTTCATAATTCAAAAAGAATTTTTTGTTGTAATTTATGTGTTTGATATTTTAACTTTGGGATTAAATAAGATGCTGTATTGATTGCGATTGGGTAAATTTAAAGCTTGTTCTTTGCAATTCCTGTTATTTTTTTCATGGAGTTTAATTGAAATTAAAGTTGATTCTGTAATTCTTTTGTCCGAGTTATCTAACTATTTCAACCCCTATTCCCTCTACCCATCTATTTTTGACATGTTAACTTTTATACTTTTTTTTTGGTTTTTGCATGCTTTTGAGTTTAGATTGGCTTCGGTAACTTGATATTAAAAAAAATGAATGGATGTATTTTTCTATTAGTATTAAAATTTACCATAAAAAAACATGTAATTATGAATTTTATGATATGGGTTTGTTGAATCCTATGTAATGCTGAATTCGGAGTACTTATAGGTATTTGTGAATTTCAAGCTCATTCTGTTATATGTTTCAATTATATTGACAGTATAAAATGGATGTTAGCTAGTTTTTAACGTAGTGGATATTTCGCTTTCGCTATTTGTATAACAAACCAATGCCAGATACTGCCTCTCTAGTTCATCTAAGATGTTTAGGATATGTTCTTTGGTTAGCTATTGTCTTTCTCATCGATTCTTTGTTACGTGATAATGACACCCTTTCCTCGGCAAAAGGAAACACCATTGTTTCACTTCGACTTTGCTGGTTTCTAAATAGTTTTCTTTCTTGAAGTCTTTGTAAATTGGCTGACACATTTACATACATCCCTTCCATTTGTAGTCATATGTTGGAATGATATCCGTTTTCACTGCATCAATCTTGAACTTATTTCTAGTCTTGTGCTTCTTGTTATTAATTTCAATCCAATTTGGAAACACATAAAAGTGAGAGATATGGTTAATGTGATGTTAATTATTTGTCAAGTTATGGGCTTATTAAATTTCAAGGGTCAAATAGTTTCTGTTCTTTGTGCTGATAAAGAACTGCATATTTGATCTGAATTTTTTGTTGTGGCCATGAACACACCTTCATTTGACGTATCTATCTTGGAACCACCTTTTTGAAGACTACAGTATGAATCAACTAAATAAAATTCTGGATTTAAAACTTTGTTAATTTACTATTGAATGAATGATATATATATATATATATATATTCCTCACGTCTATTGCAAATCAGATCAACTTCAGAACTATTTAGGATTAAGGTTCTCCTGCTGTTGAATTGAATTTGATATTTATAATGAATTCTCAGGTCAATGCTTCCTCTTCTAATTTGGACTAAATTTATCAGTTTTTTCGTATGACAAGCATAGGACGGGAATGAAGTTTTCTTTAGGATCAAAAGAAGCACACAACTGAAGAAGCTTATGAATGCATATTGTGATCGACAGTCTGGATTTCAACTCGATTGCCTTTTTGTTTGATGGCCGCCGCCTTCGAGGCGAGCAAACTCCTGATGAGGTATCATTCCGTTTTCTCTTTTAAGAGAACAACCTCATTTGCACATTGCAGATTGGAGTGTATGTTCAAACACATAATAAAAATTCCGTTTGTTTCTCTTTTGGTTCAGCTGGAAATGGAGGATGGTGATGAGATTGATGCTATGCTGCACCAAACCGGTGGAGCAAATGCTTTCACAATGTTCCCATTTGTGTGAATGCAAGTTATAGCTTTACTGTTCTTAGCATTTGAAGGGTAGAATTATTGTCTGATTATGTAGATGATGTATTTGTATATATAGACTCGTGGTCATGGCCACGGAGTGTTATGGACGTGGTGTGGTTCTGAAATATCTAGCTCTTTCTTGAAGAGCCTTTTATGGATGCTGTTTTACTTGATGAGATGGGATTTGGACCTCCCTTTTTGAGCTAAACCTTTTCTTTGATGGCTTTGTTTAGCAGCTTCTAGCTATCTCGTCAGTAATTATTCGTTGCTTTTAATGTGATTTATTTTTTAACATTTTGTAAAAATGTTTACTTGAATTTAGTTTACTGGTTCTATAAAAAAGTTTATTTTAACAATTTCTATTTGGACAAACAGTATAAGAGAAATGATTAATGGTAATGAAATTTTACAACTATGTAGTCTTTTATTTGAAACTGTATTCAAAGAAGTCATTAACCATTCATTTAAAATAAAAGCCTTTCATATCGTATTCCCGAGTGAGGAAAAGAAAAGAATCAGGGAAGACATGCAAGATGTCATAGGTGCATATCCAAATGCATATTTAAGCCAAACTGATGGATCTGACTCCAATGGAAATCAGTAACAGCCGCTGTCAATGCACCATAATCACTTGCAACCTTCATTAGTAGTTCAGAAAATTGTTTCTGCAGAAATTCGAATAACCAATGAAACTATATATCTCTGTCTCTCTTTTAGTTCACTAAGCAACCGTTCGGTTGAAAGCACAAATCCGTACTTGTGTTCGGCTTACTGGAAGAATATCCGAGTACTATAACGTGCATCAATGTTTTGAGACGACATTATTTTTTAACTTATTAAATTTTTATTTTTTACATGATTTTATTCTTAATTTATTAAAAAAAGAGTTCAAACCAAAATCCATTAAAGTGAAAGGTTTGGATTTGGTTAAAGAACAAATCAATTTAAGAACTTTTAAACATAGGAAAAGATTGCGGTAGAGGTTGTATCATCTACCACGAGCATTTTGGGCTTGTTGAAGCCCCTTTGGGTTTTTTTCAAAATAAGCCCAAGTTAGTAAACTTAACCTAATTCCTGGGTTTGAGGCTTCCCTTTATGTCCCAATTCAGAGATCTAGGGTTTCAATTCCCTTATAAATGCCTACCTAAGTTGTTTTCTCATCAGGAACATGTAATTCTAGGGTTTATCTGTGGACTTGTTTCACCCCCCGCCCCGGTCTTTTAGTGTTTTTGGTTTTTAATCGAAAGTCCCGATGAGGAAGAATTCCCATAGATAGGAAGTGCCGTATGACATATTAATCAGGCAGCGGCAACACGCCAAGGAATGTTCCCGAATTCCCATCCGCCAAGCCTCAGCCCTCTGATTCTTGTTCTTAGGTGCTTGATGCTTTGTCTGGGTTTCCGGGGCTTCATGGAAGCTTGTTACCCTGTGTGAGTGATTTGAAACGGGTCTCTGAGGGTTTCTTCTTTCGATATTTTTGGGTTTAATTTAAAGTGTTTGGTCCGATGCCACGTCGACTGTAGCCAAGAGCAGTGACCGGCGATGCTATGATTGGACCGAAATAAATATAATGTTTCGCTTGCTGATAGGAAGCCGTTGATCTGATTGATTGTGATCTACGGAGCCGTTTTCGGCGATTACATATTGTTTTATAATGCTAAGTAATTCATTTGCGGAAGCCGATGAGGATTTGTTTTTATAGTTGGAATTACCGACTGAATTCTCATTTATTTTGATGTCAATTTTACTGGCTGTCTGAGGCTTCACATAAACTGGTTTGTGCTTTTGGTTTTTATAATTGAAAATTTCATATTAATTGGGGTCGTCAAATGGTGTCTAACTCACCCCATTGCTTCTTGCATCTTCTGAATGGTCTGAGGATACGAGTAAGATTGAGAAGTACAACAACTACTTTTATCATAAACTAGGAACCCCAATATTTGCAGACAACATGTGGTTGGAGAGTTCACCATGGACCATGGTGCAATTCAATATCATAGGAATTTGAAGTAGAGAAAATTCTAGAAAAGTAACTTGCACAAATTCACGCCTAACAATTCGATTCCAAGCCTGTCATTGCTCTACCTTAACCGAAATTACAATTCTTTTATTTTGATGGTAAATTATGAATTTTATCATTTAAAATTTAAATGTTTTTAATTTAATTATTTATTTAATTTTGTTTTCTCATTTTACTGCTGATTAATTTTTATAAAAATTATTATTTCCGTTTTTCCCCTTTCTCTTTATGTTCAGTTTCTGGCATTTGTTTATCAGGGCTGATCTTTATTGTTGATGGATAATAAATTCTCATTTTTTTTACCAAGTATCTTTTAATCTCAATATAAATTTAATGTTTGTTTGAGCCTAGATTTTATACGCTTTTGATTTTTATCTTTTAATTTTGTCGATGGTTATTGATCGACACCGAGTGAAAATAGGATACTTTAACCTAAATATAAATCTCTCTTTTGTTGAGGTTTGCCAATACTTTATTTAATATTCTTTTCCTGGTTTTACAACTATAAATAAATAAAGAAGCTTCATTTTAGTTTTTGTTTTGTTTTGTTCAAGTTGTTATATATTTATATGATAAAAGCATACGGTGCAAACTAAATTTATGATAGTTTTTCTCATAAAATTGATTAAATTCATATAAAAAACACTCATTTTTCTGGAAAAAAATGTGCTTTTAGTTTCGATTAGTCAGTATAAACAATTCAAAAGTTCAATAATTTAGTTAAAATTTATTAAACTTGAATGATTAAAATAAGATTGAGAAAATGATAAAATTTAAAATTCACTTTAATTTAAAATGTAAATTTGAAAGGAACTGAATCTCAAGTATTCCAACTCATATATTGAATAAATTTAATTTGCAAACGTGAAAAAGATGTTGAATTACATTTATGCAACTTTTATTTTGTATCGACTGTCTGAAGCCAATGTGAAAACAAGGTCCGACAAAGTGAGATGCTTTATTAAATGTAATGGAATTGTAGCTTATTTGTTAGGTGTTTGAATTTGCTCAATTGAAAAAAGCAGAAATTGAATTAAATAGCAACAAGTATTTAGAAAACAATTGGTTGTGTTTGCAACAACAGAAGGGGACAGTACCGACAATTCTCATTCAATCTCCTTTTCCGGTCCAAAATACATGGTAAAAGAAACAGAGATTAAGATAAGGAGGCACCCAACAAGTCGACCGAACGAAGAAGCAATGCTTGAGGTACCTATGCCCCATAACTGTGAAAAGGCAGCCTGTAACATAAAACCACAGAAAACAACAATAAATTGTATTATTTGATAACCTCAAGCTTTAAACACATGCTTAATTCCCTTCAGTTCTAATTTCTAGCTACTCAAGCTCGAAGAACCTTCAACCTCCTCTGAGCTGCTGGTTACACAATCAATCAAAAAAACCATAAGTACAACTGAAACCAGGCGGAAGAGGGTACCTCGACAAAGAGGACATTTGCAGCTTTACTAATTTTCTCAAGCTGTAGTCCACGAGCTAAAAACACCTGTAGCGGAACAAGTTCAGGCATATTTGGCTAAAGCAAATGCGTCAGGAGACAAAAAGAGTTATTACAACTATTGTTGGTGCAATAGTGTTTATTGATTGTTATGTCGAACAAACCTCTGCTAAGAAGGACAGAATACCAAGTGCAAGCATCAGAGACAGTGAATAGAAACTTGGCAGCACAAACTCCTGAGATGTAAATAAAAATTATAGTTATTTCTAGCTCCACTCAGTGGTATCTACCATCTATTGCTAAAACAAGCATTCAAATATTTGGCAGTCAATACCAGAAAGCAATCAAATTTTAGCATACTTATTAACTAAAAGAAATCAAGAAATATAATTACATAATCAATTTCTACTTGCATTAGCCTATGAAAAGTATAGAGTTTGTAAATATTAAACATTGCAAATTCTGCAGTACTAGTTTGATGTGGTTTACTTGTTTGGAGTAACTATGTTCATATCAAAAGGCACTTTCCATGCACGAAGATTTGCATGTTTAGGCTAGGACAAAGCATTCAATCTACTGTCAGTTACTGCTGTTGATATCACTTGGTAATTTTATAAGCAAAACAAGGGTTTGCCAAGAAATGATTAAAAATATCCGAGTATAAGGTAAGCAAGGGATTCTGGACCAATGAATCTACAATGAGATCTCTTTTACTTCCAAAATCAGCACTTTTCAAGAGTAATAAATGGAGCTTTGTTACATTAGATTAGCAGTGGTCAAACTGTAATTATTTGCATATAGAAAACGCCTCTCAAAACATTTACAAATTGATCATATTATGGCACTCACCTCAAAGGCTAATGTGCATATTCCTGCAGCAGGACTAGCCAGTATTCCAAATGACAAAACTGTCACCCTAAAAAAAGGATTATTTGCAACAAGCATTAATTGAATGACAGAGAAAAGGAGGTAGATATCATAATAAGGTTTGTGAACACAAATACTGGACTGATGATAAAAGAAACCTCAGGAGCAAGCTTTATGGTAAACAATACTTCAAAACATGGAAAATTTTGAAAGAAATGAAGAAGGTGAAATTTTTTAAGGAGTCCATCCTAGTTCAGTTAACAACAAACTTACACAGGCTGATCTGATGCCTTTGCGGCAGCCTTTATGAGACAATAGCTAATTCCACCAGTTACTGATGAAATACAACCAATTAAGATTGCATAAATGTGTTTACTTCCTCCGAAACTTGAATTGCTTGCTTCCACGGTTTTATGTAGTCCTCCTGCCACATCCAGAAAAAGGTAAAAAAGACTCATGGTCACGGTAACAGGTTAGCCATCAGTAATGCACAATTACAGGAAATTATATAAATAACTCTATGGGCCAAGCAGATAACAATATTGAAGGACACAATTTTACTATAAAGAATTGAACATACGTCACACTAGCTTCAAAATAATTCATTAAAGAAAAGATGTGTATATGCGTTCCATTTGATGTGCCTGCCACCAAATGAAATCAGTGTTTTCAAACCTTTCTATAGAAAATTGCAATATGTTCCTCAATGAAGTAAGAATACTTTCATGGAAAAAAGAAGGAAGATGCATGAATAAAAAAATTGAATTCAAGTGTAATATAATAATAATAATAATTTTAAAATGGATTTAACCAACAGCCTCAAACTTCTTTGTTGTGGTTTGTGATGATTTCATATAATGAATGGTATTACCGTTTAGATGAATTTAGTTTTGACTTTCGAGGTTTCTTATGATTTGATTAATTGATCAAATTGGACGGTGTTGAGAAAAGTCTACAAATTTAAGGCTCTGAAACCTGAAAAAGGCACCAGGTGTCTGAAACTTGGTAGGGATGGAAGTAACATGAGAACACTGAAATTTCAATATTTATGTGTCAAGGTTTGGGAATTTTGCTGTTGGAAAAGAGAAATCACTTTTAGTTGTTATTAACTAATTGCGAAATTAATCTATAGTAGAGTAGAGCATAAAAGGGCAAAATAATCCATATATTACAAACAGATGACAAAAGAAGAAAATTCAGGGGCACTAAATGATCAAAAGAGTTCAGATCCTTAGTCTTCAATACTATCACTAGATGGATGCATAGTGAATAGAGACCACCTCTCATGCATCAGCATAAATGGAAATGCTCTATTATCATATAGTAGCAATCTAACATAAAATTCCAACTCTATTTAGACACTTGAAAAATCCAAGGCATTCGTTCTGAGCACATTCGAGAAGGTTCTGTTAACTCACTTCTGTACCTTTTGTAGTAAGCATCTGCTGAAAAATAAAAAGCAGGCCGGAGAAACTGCAAGCAAGACCTGGAAAGGTATGATAATCAATAAATTAATTAACCCTATCTTTGTAAGGTAGTTCAATTTTTATAGCATAAGTGAAGATAGAAGGTGAGGAAATGTTAACGGACCTCCAATTTCTGCAATTTTCAACTTCTCATGCAAAATAATTCTAGCCATGAATGAAGCCATTATTGGAGTTGTAAAGCTCAATAAAATAATCAGAGAGAAAGGTACTCTTTGAATGCTGAAAACAAAAATTGAGCAAATGAGTTATGACTATTTATGTTAACAAGGATAAAACTTGCAAGCCATAGCAAGAGTGATTCCAAGAATTGCTAGTTTAAAATGACTAGAGAAAAAAAGAAAACAGAAAAATTCAGATTTGGAAACTGAGAATGCAGGAAAGAGAAAATAATTTTTTTTGATAGGAATAGGATGTCTCATTTAAAACCTCCTTCTAAGTAGTCCATTGCCGTAAGGCAAGAACCCTCTAGAAAAAGGAGGAAAAGAGAACATCAATTTATTAGAAATGAAACACTTACAAAAATAACATACAGAAGAAAACACACTCCTACAAAAATACTTAAGACAAGAAACACTCCTACAATACCTCACCACATAGAAAACACACTCCAACTAAAATACCAAAGACTAGAAACACTCAGCCAATACCCTCCTTAGCCAGCTTATCCGCCTCACAGTTACAACACCTAGGGATCCACCTGATAACGATCTGATTTCGAGAAACAGCAGACACTATCTCCTTCACAAAAATAGATAGGTACAAAGGGACAGAATTTTGATATTTAATCCATTCCACTGCTGTCTTTGAATCACTTTCAACAATAAGCCTACCCTTCGAAGCCCAAACAGATGAAACAAAGATGTCAATGCCTTTCTTGATAGCCTTTAATTCTGCTAGGATGGGAGTATTAGGACCAACATTTATCGAAAAAGAAGTCAGAATCACCCGATTCCAGTTCCTAAGAATACCCCCAATACCAGCCACCATCCCCAAACTACTCACCGCTCCATCAACATTCATTTTAAAATAATCCATAGGAGGAGGAATCCAGCAAGACCCATGCTGTTCAAAACCTTGAAGTCTGGAAAGTTGTCTGCCACAGAGGGGTCACCAATTAAAAAATCAACTTGAGTTGAATACCGAGGAAACTTTGCAACAAACCACTTAGCTAGTCTGAAACGAACAGTAAAAGATAAAGAAATTCTGTCTAACTTTCCCTTGTCGAAAATGATCTCGTTCCTTAACTTCCAAATGGACCAAAAAACTGCCCCTGGAATGAACTTCCAAATAACTGATTTTGGCCTCAAACAGCCCATGAACTGAGCAGTTTAGGGGGGTCTTGTGGAATAGTAAGCTGAATATCCCAGTACCCTATAATTTTCATCCATAATTCCCAAGAAACAGGACAAGAGACAAACAAATGTTGAACTGATTCTGCCCCTTGATTACACAACGGGCAGAGAATGATCCCCCCTACATCGATCCCCCTTCTCAGCAACTCCACTCTCACAGCAACCTTTTGATGAGACAACTGCCAAAGAAAAGTCTCCACTCTTGGTGGAACTAACCCCAGCCAAACAACTTTCTCCCACTGAACTGATTCATCAATAAAACAGAAAAGGAATTCCTACACGCTTTAACAGAAAACTGCCCATCTTCCGAACCGACCCACAACAAAGAATCCTCCAAAGACTGAACCAGATTGATGTTTTTAAGACTGTCCAATAACCCAACCAACTGCTCAACTTCCCAATCACAGGTTTCTCCTGGTCATAATGTTCCAAACCCACCCAGACGAGCCGAAACTCCCAAAATCAGCTACCTTACCCAATTTATTTGAGGAAAGAGCAAATATTCTGGGAAACAAGAGTTTCAAAGGAAAATCCCCATTCCACGTATCACTCCAAAAGTAAATCGACTTACCATTACCTATTTGAAGCTTAGCGTGAGATCTAAGGCAGCTTCCAATGACATCATCCTTTAAATAGCTGTTCACAATACCCCTCCATATCCAAGAGTCCTTTAAAGAAAAAACTCTATTGATATCCATCGAATGACAGCTTACATTATGTTTACTACATAAAAATTTCTTCCACATCGAATTCTTATCATTGGCAAACTTCCAAACCCACTTTCCCAACAAAGCTCTATTAGTAACCTTCAAATCCGCCACTCCCAATCCTCCTCCACTCAACGGCCTACATACATAATCCCAGCGCACCCAATGCATTCTCTTCTTGTCTTCCCTACTCCCCCATAAAAAATCCGACATCAATGAATTCAACTTTTGAGAAATAGTAGCAGGCATCTTAAACATAGATAGGAAAAAAATAGGTAACGATGATAATACCGACTTTATTAACACCAATCTACCAGCCAAAGATAAAGAAGTAACTTTCCAACCAGCCAATTTCTTATTAAAATTGGCAATAACCGGATCCCACAACTTTTCCGAATTCATTCTTGCCCCTAAAGGAAGGCCTAAGTACTCCGTTGGAAAAGAACCAATAGCACAGCCAATATTCGTAGCCCATTCTTCAAGGATGTCACTTTCCACATTAATTCCATAAAGTTTGCTTTTAACTAAATTTAAATGGAGCCCCGTCATTAAGCCGAAAATCCTCAAAATTCTTCTAACATTCTTAATCTGTGTAATAGACGCTCTACAGAAAATAATTAAGTCATCTGCAAACTGAAGGTGGGACAAAGAGAAGGGATTCTGATTTTTACCAAAAGAGAAACCTTGAAACAGACCCAAGTCCACTGCTTTAGACAGCATCCTATGAAGTAATTCCCCGACTAAATTGAACAGAAGAGGAGAAAGGCTACAACCTTGCCTCAAGCCTTTAGCAATAGAAAACTCTTTAGTAGGAGACCCGTTCACTAATACCGAGATAGAAGCTGTGGAGATACACTGTGATATCCAAGAACACCATCTCTCTCCAAAACCCATCTCCCTCATAAGCCTTTGAATAATATGCCATTCTATTGTATCATAAGCTCTACTGAAGTCCACCTTGAAAACTACCCCTTTAAGTCCTTGCTTCCTCCAAGAATCAATTCCTTCATTGGCTAGAAATGCACAATCCAACAATTGTCTACCCGGAATAAACGCGAACTGAGACGGACTAATGATATCCTTGACACAAGATATAAGTCTTTTTGAGAGAACCTTTGAAAGGATCTTATACATGCTGCCCACAAGACTAATGGGTCGAAAATCTTCAATGTTCTCGGGAATACATTTTTTAGGAATCAAAGTTATAAACGTATGATTAACTCCATGATCCCACATCTTTCCTGATAGAAATCAGAGAAAAACTCCATGATCTGCTCCTTTAGGCTTGCCCAATATTTCTTATAGAAACCCATGGTAAACCCATCCGGGCCCGGAGCTTTAGTACTATCCGAAGAAGAGATTACTTGCCATACTTCTTGCTCAGAAAATTCCACCTCCAAAGATGCACTCTGAATTGCAGTTAGTTGTGCAAATTCCAAGTTTAAGCCCTCAACCTCCATTGCTGATTTGGTGTTATACGTTGCCTTAAAAAAATTGAACACAGTACTTCTAATCATTCCTATATCCGAAATAAAATCTCCCTTAATTTTCAACGAATGAATAGTGTTGGCTCTATTCCTCGTCAAAGCACTCAAGTGAAAGAACCTTGTATTTCTGTCTCCATCCTTAATCCATCTACTCCTGGACTTCTGACACCAAATGCTCTCCTCAATCCTTAATAGCCTCCACAACTCCTTTTTCCCTTCTACCATCTGGTCCCACTCCCCCTTGGACAGGATCCCACTTGCGACTTCCTTTCCCAATTATCTATCTTCCCTTCAAGAGTCGCAATGGAGTCTGACAGCCCAACATTACTAATTCCCTGCCACCTTCTGATCTGATTTTTGGCCATCTGTAACGTCCTAAAAATTCCCCCATAATCCCTCTTATTCTTCTCATCTCCCACAAGGTTTACAACAAAATCATCAAAGCCTTGTTCTTGTAAAAGATAATTGAAGAATCTAAAAGGTTTTGGGCCCCAGTTTATACAAAAATCTTTCAACAACACCGTTTATGATCTGACACAAAATTCGAAAGGAGGTTCTGTGTAATCTTAGGAAAACAGTTGAGGAAAGTGTCACTTATTAAGAACCGATCAAGCCTAACCCATGTTGAAACTTCTCTGTTGCTACTCCATGTGAAAGTCCCTCCTGACATGGGCAAATCAATGAGCTTAGCTCGCTGCACAAAAGTTCTAAAGATGTTTATTGTGTGCCAGTTCTGAGCTTTCCCTAGCTTTTCTTCCGGATCAATATACGCATTAAAATCACCCCCTATACAAACCGGTAAATTCATCGAAACAACGAAACACAACAGCTCCTCAAAAAAGGCCTCCTTTTCATCCTCAATTGCAGGGCCATATACATTAATAAAAACGAACTCCTTATGATCGTTTATAAATTTCCCTACAAGCGCCAAAATCTGCTGTGCACATGCTGAAAAGTGACTTTGAACATATTCTCATTCCATAAACAGATCAATCCGCCCTTAGACCCCTGTGCTGGAGAAACCTTCACTCCCTTTAACAGATCCCCACCTAATCTCCGTACAATAGACCCCTTACAATGATCGAGCTTGGTTTCTTGAATAAAAACCATTACTGGTTTGACCTTCTTAACCAGTCTAGCGCCAGAAACAATCTTCTCTCTCCTCCCTAAACCTCTAATATTCCACGACAGTATACTAAAATTCTGCATTAAAAATATCACTCCCAACCACCCAAACCAAACTCAACCGATCACAAAACCTAACCATCATAACCATCATCCTTTACAACCTCCGATCCCTTCTCAAGGCATAAAATCTTTTCAATAAATGTCTCCTTGCCATCCTTGAAAGATATGCCTAACAATATGCTCACTTCCCACGTGGCCATAGCTTCCTCCACCAGTTTAGAAAAAACAGGAGAGAAGGCAGTGTTAATACTGACCAACTCCAAGGCAAGATTAATTAAACCTCTTCTGTTCTTCCTGCTATTTCTCCTGAACTTTAAGGAGGAAGAGATATCCGCTTCCACGCACTCCACGTCTTCTAATGAAGGCTGATGACAGTTTGTGCGGTCTGAACCCTTCTGATCTTGAATCGTAATAGCCTCTGAACCAGTAAAAACAGCATCATTACTCGAATTAAACCATATTCTTCTGTTCCTCGACCTTTTGTAAACTCTGGCATAATGACCTTTTTTCTTTTTCCATCCTGTGCTGCACGCAGAGTCATACAAGTAGTAACTGGAAATCCTCTTTTCTTCCTCTTCACACTAATCTCCTTGTTTACCTCCTTCACCGATTGACTAACAACTTTCATCTGCATTCTATTTTCTTCCTCCTCCTGGACACCCTCACCTTCTTTATCTCTAAGACCACCACTGTCCACCTCTATTAATTCATGGAGAGACTGACACTTGTTATGCTCTTCTAAACCATCCCACTTCAACTTAACAGCCGGCCCCTTAGGAATAATTTTAGTTACTGGTGAAAAGGAATCCCAGTTAGAATCAGATTGGGCTGAGCAACTCTGATCCACAACATCTCTCAGCCCAAGACCCGCGTACTCCTTATTGGAAACTGGCTCCATTACACATTCCAGATTCCCTGACAGCCCATAACCATAGGATTTCGTGTAGGACGACTTTTCAAGAGAATGTTCCCCACCTTCCTCAAACCCCCACTTTCTACAACTTTTTGCCCCCACGTGCCCACCTCTGTCCCCACTACCTCTGCAGATTTTCCCCGACTGTCTACTTTCTTCCCTGAGCTATCACCGTTAACTGGAATTTCCTGTAACTCTTCTCCGGAAACATCTGTGGCTGCATAATAGCTACCTCCCAAAGAAATTTTAACCTTAAAGATCTTCCATATGACCCTACTATGATGGACTCTTGAATGTCATAAGGACTAGCAGCCCTCAACAATAATCTCGCCGAAGAGAGATCTTCTTTATTTCTAGTCTCGTCCAATATACAAACAAGATCTCCCCACCTTCCCGCTAGTTTTTCCAGAAATGGTACATTCCAGCAAAGCAGTGGTAACCCTACCAACTCTACCAAGCCATACGCCAATGGAACACCATCCTCACTCATCACCGGTGATAACCATTGAAACCAGGAAAACAATTTGTCTCGGTAATTCGACCACGCCTTAACGAAGTCTTCATTTGACTTGAACATAACAATGACAGCATTCGTTACGAATCCCCAGCTTACAATCTTTACCTGGAACCCCTCCTTTGCCATAGCCTTCTTCACCATGTTCGGCTGCAGGGGATATTTGACAACCCCTGTTAATGAATACTTCACCCAACCATAATCATCATTGGGAATGTGCATATCCCATACATTCCTCACTTCATTATCTTTCAAACCCTTACCTCCTTCACTCTCCACTATTACTTGCTCCATGTTCTTCGAACTATCCCCCATCACCACCTCATCGTACGTTCTGCCATTCCTCAAACTACTCGCTTTTTTCGTTTTCACCTGTTGCCAACCCCTGTCCCCTATGACTTGCTTGTTACCTGCTGATTGAAGCTTATTTCCCACTGTTCCTCCTCTACTATTTTTCTTGTACTTTGCCACCCCCACTGACACTCGCTTCCCATCAATCAGCGTTCCATTCACGTTCTGAACTGCTCTACTACAGCTTTTCTCTAACGCAAATTGCACAAAGGCAAACGTGGATGATTTGTAGTTCGGTTTAAAAATAACATTTGGAATATAGACCCTAACTACTTTACCATACTGGATGAAAATCTCTCTAAGCTCACTTCTCGTAACTCTCTTACTAAGGTTATCAACAAAAACAGTCCATTCCTCATCGGAGGATGGACGACCCAACTCTCTCGCCATCACTGATAAAGAACTGTTTCAAATAGATTAAGCAAAAACTATGGCATTGCAGACATAAAATGATAAATCCTTATATTCATTACAAAGATGGGACTTGTAAGAACAGATATAAGCAAGAAGAAAAATGTAATTCCAGCACCATCTTAACCACTAAAGAAAATCTAGCATGCCTATCACTGGAGAAACAATACTGTCCATATAATCTAGCAACAATAAAAGAGAAGCTTATAACTTTAGCAAGATGAAGATGCAGAATAAAAGTTTCAAATAGATACAGAGGGAATAGTCCAACATGATGAAAACTGTCTCCTAAGCAAACTCTAAAAGAGGCAGGGAAGCAGGAATGTGAACTAAAACTTACCAATAGATAAAACTCAACAATGTGAGATATCCCACTAGAGCTCTTAAAACTAAAAGTTTCCTCGGATAAGTTGCTCCAAATATTGACTGCCCAATTCTTCTCAACCATAAATATGATAATATCAAGGTAACTGTACATCTTACAAATGCAGTCTCAAATAAAGGAATTGGCTGAGCTGCCATCATTAAGAAACCAATGGAGAAGATAGTTAAATCAACGGAAACTTTATGAAAAACATCTCATGCCAGAATAATTTGGAATCAGTGAAAAAGAGATACCAGAAGCTAGAAAAAGGTAAGGCACAAAACATGTAAAACCGACACCATATAACATCAATATTCCATTTATCTGTATCTCAACAACAATACTATACTGTTAAAACTCTACTTCATCAAACTTATATAGCATTTAAAACCATCAAATAGATTTTGAGAAAAGAACTCCATCTCTTCCCCACTACATAAAGATAAGAACTCCTGAATATGTTTGTGATGATAAAATATTACATACTACAAAAATGGTGAATGACATAAGATAGAGAGATTCTGGTTCTAATGTTAGGCGGTATTGTCCCACATTAGTCAAGATTGGAATTTATATCAAACTGATACTCAGGTTTCACCTCTCCAACAACTACTATCAATTATCTTATATTGGACGCTTAACATGGTATCAAGGCTCAAATTATTGGCCCACCTAGGCATTTGTTGGCCAGCTTTCACAGTCAAACGAAGCCCTCATTTGTCTCAATTGTTATGAAGTCTAAACACGAGGAGAATGCAAAGTATCATTATCATGTATCACTTAAACACTCTAGATTTCATTCTGGTCTTAGATTTATGATGAACTCTGTATAGTTACAGCCAACTGGCTAAGTTAGACAAACAAAAACTTGAAAAGGTACCAAAATGTAAATTGGCTTTGTGGTTCACACGATAGTACCTTTGTCTTGGTTGTTTTATGGGAAACTGCACATGAGTATATTATTAATTCAGGTCATCAGACATCAATAAAGTTTGTGTTTGTTGTAACATTACATTCAAGTTGGCCCTCTCTTGATTAATCCACATCCACTCAGTTATTATTATACCACATGCAGTCTATTTAGATTAACTAGGGTTATATCAGGAATTCCATTTACCATAATTAGAGGTTCATGGGAAGCCACAAAAGATCATTTACTACAGAAACAGGTCAAATTTACGTGGGAAATGACATATAAGACATCCTTTATGTGCTGGCAGCAGTCATGAATGAGCAGAAACTTACTAACCAGTGAAATTATCAGACAGAACTTCCATGACAAAGTAAATTATAGATGAAAAGGCCATGCATACTAGACCAGAGTATCTGGATCCATTCCATGCCCATGACAGAAACTGTGAAAACGGAGATATCTCTGTTTCTGGTACTTTTATAACTAGCTCCTGCAAGCACATTAAACCAAGTAACCTATGTTCAGTACAAAACTATAATACTTCTGCATTACCTTCTACATTCCAGGTAAGCAAAATTTAATAACAGTTTAAGCATATGCAATAAGGTTGACAAAAAATTTCAAACAACCACATTAACCTCAATCAACAGGAAAATTTTTATTTAAATTTAGCATCACTATCACTTAAATCTATACCAAATTTTACAGAATAGGAATCTGATTTTCCATTTCTAAGAAAACCAAATAGCAAAGATAGTGTTAATGCTCAGTTTGATCCATTTGGTTATTAATTTAGCTAATTTCTTTTCCTCTAGGGGGAATTCGAAGTTCAACAACAAAATGTGGACAAAGTCCTCCAATACTCAAAAACAAATAGTTAAAAAAGAACAACAATTAGTTTATCAAGCTAAGCAGTCATTTTTCAATACAACTTGCTACCATTAACAAGCAAAACAAAATCATACAAATAAAGATTCAGGCAGTCAGAAACAGATAGCTTTGAAGTTAATTTTTTTCCCTAAAGAATAGAATCAATGGTTTACTTAACTTACCCTAGGTTTTCTTCGGGAACGAGAGACCGAAAAGATGTTGATCTTTGGCCTCTCGATCTGCGTCAAGAGAGGTGTTATCTCCTCCGAAGACGATGCGACGGAGCCACCATTAGCTGCGGATTCTGAGTTGTCAAGCACGATCAGTTCCACAGTATGATTGCCGTCATCGGTACTGGCATCTGCTGAAGCCGCCATCACCGCGCATCAAAAGGTCCAAAAAAAAAAGAGATCCTAAAGAGACCGTAAAGTAGATTGTAGTTATGTAATCTGGAGTATCAATTAAAAGCGAATCTATAAAGTTCTGTTCCGGCAACCATGAAGCTGGTTTTCATTTCCCCAAAAGCGAATAAAACACTTGGAATAAAAATAAGAGGCTAATGAATTATTTCCTTGGGAGTTCGTTGGTGGAAGTGACGTGTCAACGGTCAAACTAGTGTGTGGCACGAATGTAAAATTCTTAATTGGGAATTGAAGATTAAAACAAGTAAAAAATCATTTTTTATATATTTTAAATTAGGATGTTAGCACGAATTTACTGCGAGATTCGTTATTTCTTTTTAGAATTCATAGATCTTAGTAATTGGTATGAATATTTATTGTTAATTGATTAATATTTTTTTTGAATATATATGATTTTATATTTATCTTAGATGTATAAAAAGAATAAAAAAAATAATTTAGAATATTTTAATTTGTAACGTTTTAATTTAGAATATTTTAATCTGTAACGTTTTAATTTTTGATAAAAAAATATCTCAATTTAATAGAACTTTTGGTTGACAGTTAACGCATATTATTAATCTGACATTTTTATATAAGTTTAATTGATAATATAATATATGTCGTATTACTCAAAACGATGATATAATATATACCACGTCATTCAGAATGACAATATAATATGTATCGAGATATTTAAAGTGATGATATTATATGTATTACATCATCAATTAAATATATGTAAAAATATGATATTAATATCATATGTTAATACACATTTAAAATAAAATGATAAAATACTTTTAATTAAGAAAAGAAACTGGATGGTTTCAGTGGTTAGAATCGATTATATAACAAATTTCCTGTGTCACAACAAAAAATACTAATTACTAGTTTGTCTCTTTATTCTTCTCGACCTCGTCCGGATCTTCTCTTTCAACAGTCCTTTTTATCTCCCAGTTGCTAGGGCTTGTTCCTTTGTCCCCCTTTCCCCATCTCTATCGATTCCTTCATTACACTCTTCACTTTAATCCCCTCAATCCTCCCTTCATTACACCATCTCAAATCAAAATTAGCCTCCAAAAACCTCATCTTCCTCGCATTTCCATTCACATTCATTGTTCACAATTCTGAACCTTTTCATGGCCAAGACTAAACCTGGCAAGAAGGACCTTGATTCCTACACTATCAAAGGCACCAACAAAGCTGTTCGTCGTACGCTTCTCTTTAAACCCATCTCTTTGTTTTCCTTTTTACATTTTCAAAAGAACCCAAGTTTCGTTCTTTTGAAGACCTTTCGGGTCTTTAAATTTGAAATCCAAAAATGATTTTGGCTTTTGATGTTTGGTATTGTTTTGCAGCTGGTGACTGTGTGCTAATGAGACCGTCGGACTCCGATAAGCCTCCGTACGTGGCTCGTGTGGAGAATATTGAGGCCGATCATCGGAACAAAGTGAAGGTTCGAGTTCGATGGTACTATCAGCCGGAGGAGTCTATTGGAGGGAGAAGACAGTTCCATGGCGCGAAGGAGCTCTTTTTATCAGACCATCATGATGTGTAAAGTGCACACACTATTGAGGGGAAGTGTGTGGTCCACACATTCAAAAACTATACTAAGCTTGAAAATGTTGGTGCTGAAGATTACTTTTGTAGGTTCGAATATAAGGCTGCCACTGGCGGCTTCACTCCGGACCCGGTGGCAGTGTGAGTTTAGATTTTTCTCGTGTTTTTGGGTTGAGATTTTTCCCAGTGCCTTGTACTATGTTTTTAGAGATTGTTTATTAATTCTTCAGGATTTCGGTTTTGAAGGTATTGCAAGCGTGAGATGCCATATAACCCGGATGACCTCATGGTGCAATGCGAGGGATACAAGGATTAGTAAAGTCACTACTGATTTACTTAATAATGCTTGTCAAAATAATATCTTAGCATTCCGAAGTTACTTTCCAATAATGATTTATATGTGTCCTATTTTATTTGGTATAATATCTTTGAAAATCAACTTCTTATAAAGCTGTAGTTTTGTTGTGACTGAAAGCAATTAAATGTAAGGCATTCTAGTGAGCTGTAATGGTAGACTCATTAAGACACAGATAAGTATGAGCTAGATCACCTTCAGTTCCTTTTGAAAATAGAAAACTTTTATGTTACCATTCAGAATCTTTAAGCTGTCTGTTAATGCCGCCTGATATTACTTAACCGCTCTGTTTTATATGGACATGGTTCATTTCCATATTAACATGCTACTATCAATGTGTAATATCTTCCTTTAGTCTTCATATCACCTAATTCACCATGGAAATGGTAACGATTTTATGATTTACAATTTGATGAAAGTTCATACAGGGTTTAAAATAGCGGGACGAAAACGCAACAGCGTCCGCCATTTCGCGGTAGCGCCGTCGTCCGAAACCGAAATCCGGGAAAATAACAGTGGGTAGTGGATTCACGCCAAAATCGGCCGATCGCGTTCGCAATCTAACGGGTAACCGTGAATAGTGCCGATAACGGGATGTTATTACTGTTATATACCGTTAATAACGGTGGCCGACGATCGAGAGGCTTAGAGCCTCCATGGTGGTGAGCGCCGTTCGTGAGATGGAGAGGGAGAGAAATAGAAGAGATGAAGTACACGGGTATTGTTTTAGGTTATATTAATTTACTTTTGGATTAATTTCATTTAAGTCCCCCATCTTTAGCCGCATATTTGTATTTTTGTCATTGAGTTTGGACTATTATGAATTTTATTTTGGATCATAGGGTCTGATCATGATAATTTACCTTATTGTTTTTGTTGAAGTGTTTATTAAGAAGTTTTAGGATTAATCCTTCTTAGGTCCCTAACATTTATGCGTCTTTTTATGAAATAGTCACTCCTTCCTCATTTTTTAATTATTTTGAATATGATGCTCTAGTTTCATTAGTTTTATTTTAATCACTCATTTATATTTTTTATTTCGAAATTAGCTGTAATATTTTTATTTTATTTTATTTTGGTCACTATTTTTATTTATAATCTACTCACTGTTATTATTTTATTTTGATCTCTATGCTTTACTTTATTATATTTTAGTCATTTTAGTTCTATATTTTAATATTCTGAACTATTTTATTTTAGGCCTTATATTCTGATATTTTAAAATAAATAAATACCCTACTTAGAAAAACCTAAAAAATCAAATAATCTACATTGTTTACGTTTTTGTTTTTGTTTTCTTTGTTAAACTATATTATATATATGCCAATTTCGCTTAGAAAACATTTTAAAAATCATTAAAATAAATCATTATAATTATAATTATAATTATTTTTATTATGTTTTAAGATAAGTTGTGCAAAATTTAAAAAAATTCAAGATCGCGACACCCGCAGTGACCGCGATGGCATCCGTTAAGTCCGCAACCGGGATAAACGCGACGCGACCGAAAACTTGACTGCGGACGCTATTTAAAACCCTGAATTCATATCTAATGAATCAAATAAGGTTTTAGTTGATTGACATTTTATGGAAAAATAGTGGCTGCAATTGAGGATTTAGCTTCTGGTAATGCAGCCAGTAGTGGAGTGTAGAGAATTTCACGTAAATCACTGTAGTGTTGTTGTCTTAGATCTCCTTAAAACTTTGGAGTTCACTATGTTATTGAAAATACCTTAAGTGAACAAATCTCAAAAGTTTTAGCGTACACTGCAAAATAATGTTACTTTTGACAGTTTAACTCTAAAGTAGTTGCAGATTAGCCTTTCAGGTTATTTAATCTAAAACTACAATGAAAAGTGCAACAAAGTTGTCTTTCTTCTTGGTCATAGACAAAGAAAGGAGACTTTTGGAGGTTTCTAATGCTCCTCTTCACTAAGAACATAATGAGTTTGAAATTCATAATGTTACCAAATGTAACGTATTGTTTGGTGTGCCTTTAGGGGTGTTATCTATTAAATTTTAGAAACTTATATTGCCTAGCTTTAATTTTACATTAGTTTTGACCAGTATAACTCAACATCGAGTTGTACTTCTAGTTACTTTTGGGCACATATGGGTTGGAACTACTACTGACTGGTTGATAAGTAGATTTTGGTTTAATCAGTCTGATTATCAATGATTCAATGTTGTCTTCAAGGGACTTTGCATGAGTTATTTGCCGATTATTTTTTGCTAGAAATGAAAACATATTTGATCTGAAGAGACATGTTTTCATGTTCTGTTAGAATGTTTAGTATTTTCTCAGTTCTTTGCCACTGATTCCATTGTACTGTGTGTGTATATATATTCCTGATTGTATATGAAATTGGATTATCATATATTCCTGACCAAGCATAATTATGTTTGTAGGTTTCATCCTTCCTGCATGGATATGACCGTTGAAGAAGCAAAAAGATTGGATCAATTTTTATGTTCCGATTGTACTTCGGAGGATGATGCCAAAAGATCTTTGAATACATTCTCAGTATCACCATCTCTTGAGGCAAAGGTTCGAGCATTTATATTCAGCATGCATACATAAATATGTCTTGTTTTCTTGTTTTACTCCGTTTAGTTATCGGCATATTCTGCTATATATTGTCTTAGACCAACATCCGTTATCCTTTGATGACGCTCTTCATGTTAATTAATTAACACTTTTCGGTTGTAATTTAGATTCTAACACCGCCATCTAATACTTCTCGATGAACTATTCTCTCTCTTTCCTTTTCCGTCTTAGCAATGTAAAATATGGCCATGCATTTGATCTTGTAGGTGGAACCAAAGCGTAGGAGAAGATAACCCCATCATGGTAAATGTGGAACGAGGATGCACTGATTTTCTTGAACATTTCGAACAATGATCTTGTTTGCTTGGTGGAATTTGTATAGTGCAGAGAAGTTACTGTGCTTGCACCCCTCACCCAGTCACCCCCCACCCAAAAAAAAAGGGCTTCCATAATCTGCCATGTTCTCACGTTTGTATGTGTGGTTGGACTTGTGAGTGCAGTCTCGGCTAAATGTTAATCTTATTATAACCCCTGAACCTTTAACAATGGCTGCTTGATCTTAAGAATTGGGGAAACCTTCTCTGTACTTTGGTTATGTCGAAGTTTCTAGTCTCTTATGGAAGCTTGGTTGGTTAATGGGTTATTTCTGTTCGGTTAAACGGAAATAACCGAATAACCGGAAATCAGGGTAGTTTGTAACAATACCTGTGCCATATAAAATTTGGGAATATTGAGCTGGACGACGTCGTTTATTTCAAGTTCGTTATTGTTGATGGCTCGTTTTTGTCAATTTTGTCCTAAAATTTATTCATTCTCTAACAAGCTATGCATCAATCTAAAATAATCTAAGTAGATTATGTTTAATTCGATTGACATCGTTTTTAGTCTAACATATAAGATAAAGTATGTTTAAACATTTAAGATTTTTAGTTTTAAAGATAAAAATGAGTGGTCTAATATAAGTACTGTGCATAGAAATACTAACCATATAAAAATTTTAATGAGACTTCCATAAAATAATAATTTAATTACTTATTAAAGCAATTTCTCAACATTTAAAAAAGTCATTCTAATACATTTTAGAATATATAATTTTAATACAACAAATATTTTGCATCCATATTACGATGGAAACGAAATCAAAATTCCTTTAAAATTATTGTGTGAATTTGAATGGAATATAATGAATTCCCAACTGCAAAAGGAAAATTAAAATAATATTCTTCAAAAATGTTATTTTTTAAACCATTATTTATTTTTAGAACTTCAAAATACGAAAAATCTAGTCGGATCCATTATCGCCTCTAAAATAGGTGCATTTGAATCAACATCACTGGTCTAGCTTAAATCAAATTCAAGGCTATTATTGTAATAGCACTTTTTTGTCTCAAAAAGTTCTTTTCTGCCCTCCTATGTCTGGCCGGAAACCTCAATTTCCCGTGATTTTTCTGTTCCTTTTTCTTTTCATCCAAACAGAGAACTGAAATCCGATTTAGATAGAGCAGAAAGAAGGATGTTAATTTCGTTACCGTTTTTATAGTAATTTTTTTGTTTGCTAGGCATTCTCTGATTTTGTTTCCTACATTTTCGTTCTTTTTCTGTAGCATTTAGTTTTCTTCGTCTCTTGAATCGAATTTGTTTCTAGGGTTTATATGATCATAGATCATTTTGGGGGGCTTTAATTTCTTTTATTCTTTTTTAACTTTCTCTTTTAGCTCGTTTCTTGCGCTTTTTGGATTTATTCGATTATTTAATCATTTGTAAGTTGAAAAAAAAAAACTTCGTCTTTTTACGATTCCTTCGTTTCTGTAATCCTAGTGTTAATCCAGAGAATCGTAATTTTAAAGGCATTAGATTCTGAGTAGATCTTCTGTTTTGTACATATTTATTGCAGTGTTTTCTTTTAATTACAAATCTTCACTTTCCATTGCTTGGTTGTGTAAATGACGTATAAAAGAAATGTTTATAATTTTAAGTCTTTCATGTTGGAACCTTAGATAATTTTAGATTTAGTTTTAGGGGTTTTGTAGATATGATCAAACAGATATTCGGAAAGCTACCTCGAAAACCATCGAAATCATCCCATAACGATACAAATGGTGATGGAGGAGATGGAGGAGTCCATGGTAATTCCTCTTTGAATTCTTCTCTAGGCCCTAATTCTTTGAACAACTCAAAACCTGGTTCAGCATCTTCGAAATCCTCCAGTTCATCACGTTCGAATAATGGCCCGCTTAATTCACATTCATCCAGTTCGAATAAAACGAATCATTGGAACAAAACAGATCCTCTTGCAAACCAAGCTGGTCTTGTATTAGCTGCAGGGGCTTATGAGGCTTTGCCTAGTTTCCGGGATGTCCCAAACTCGGAAAAGCATGGTCTTTTCCTTAGGAAGTTGGGAATGTGTTATGCGGTTTTTGGTTTTAGTGATCCATCTAAGAACCTTAGAGAAAAGGAAATAAAGAGGCAGACATTGTTGGAGCTTGTTGATTATGTATCATCTGTTTCAACCAAGTTCAATGAGGTTGCAATGCAAGAGATTACAAGAATGGTGGCTGCTAATCTGTTTCGAACATTTCCATCCCCGAACCATGATAGCAAGATTCTAGAAATGTATGATGCGGAAGATGAAGAGCCGGCCATGGATCCTGCTTGGCCTCATCTTCAGATTGTCTATGAACTTTTTCTTAGATTTGTGGTCTCACCGGAGACCGATGCTAAGATTGCTAAGAGATATATTGACCATCCATTCTTGTTGAAACTGTTGGATTTATTTGATTCGGATGATCAAAGAGAGAGGGAATATCTAAAGACGATTCTACATCGGATTTATGGGAAGTTCATGGTCCATCGGCCATACATTAGAAAAGCCATCAACAATGTCTTCTACAGGTTTATTTTTGAGACAGAGAAACACAACGGTATTGCTGAATTGCTTGAAATCTTGGGGAGTATAATCAATGGGTTTGCTTTGCCTTTGAAGGAAGAGCACAAGCTCTTCTTGGTTCGTGCTCTGATTCCTCTTCACAAGCCCAAGTGTGTTTCTATGTATCATCAGCAACTTGCTTATTGCATTATTCAGTTTGTTGAGAAAGACTTCAAGCTGGCTGATACAGTCATCCGAGGCCTTCTAAAGTATTGGCCTGTAACTAATAGCTCGAAGGAGGTAATGTTCCTTGGAGAGTTGGAAGAAGTTCTTGAAGCTACTCAGGCAGCAGAATTCCAACGTTGTATGGTTCCTCTTTTCCGTCAGGTTGGTCGGTGCCTCAACAGGTCACATTTGCAGGTACTTATAGCATCTGCTTGTCAGACTTTGTTATTCCTTTTTTTCCTTCTTCTGTGACTAATTTCACCATAATTAGTCACTGAGCAATATGTTTTTTCCATTGTTTGAGGTCTTTTATTGTATTTTTCTTCCCCAAATGTTGTTGTTAGAGTTTTTTGCGCACCTTAATGGAATGATGATCCCCTCCAACTAGGGTTATTACACTTGGTACTTTATAGTTTATTAGTATAATATGATTCACCAATAGTTTTGTCCTGATGAGATAATAAAATATTGAAAATTCTATCAATTTGACTTGTCTTTGAAAGTAATGGATTTTAGTGTTTACTGTAAATGAGAGAATGGGTTTAATTTCTGGGGGTGATGTGTATTTGATCCTCCCTGAAGACATGTCATCTAGCCCAAGAAGGACATTCATGAAGAAAGCACATCTGCTAATCTTCAACCTTTCTATACGTAAGAAATAATGCCGGATATGTTTTGGCCAAATTCTTCAGAAGGCCCCTGGACCATGTGTTTTTGGCTGACTTAGTCCTTCTACTGTAATTTTTTATCATTTCTAGTCTGCTTTTTCAAATCTGTAACTTTAGTCTTGAGACCTACTTTGTCCGGGTAATTGCGTTAAATAATTTGATGTGAATTATTTTTAAAGCGTAAGATGATCTGACACATACACCTTGGCGTTTTTTATACAGTTAGACAATTCTTTTCCCATTTAGAAAAGAGAGAAAAAGGTGTAATGTCTGTCCAACTGTACAAAAAAAGGACAAGGTGCATAGGCTACATCACCAAGTCAAGTTATTTGACAGAATGATGAAATTATAGTAAAGAGACTTAGTCCTCTAAATCCTCTATGCCAGTGAGTTTTGGCCTATAACCCTGGTTCGAGTATTTTAAATTGTTATAACATGTTACTTTGGCAGGTAGCTGAACGCGCATTGTTCTTGTGGAACAATGTTCACATAAGAAACCTAATCACTCAGAACCGCAGGGTAATACTCCCTATAATCTTCCCAGCATTGGAGAGAAACACATGTGATCATTGGAATCTGGCAGTTCAGAGCCTTACACTGAATGTGCGGAAGATATTCTTGGATGCTGATCAAGCGCTCTTTGATGAATGTTTAGCCAGATTCCAAGAAAGTGAAGGGAAGGAAAAAGAGATTCAGGAGAAGCGAGAGCTAATCTGGAAGCAGTTGGAAGATGTGGCTGCATCTAAAGCTGTTAGTAATGATGCTGTACTGGTTTCAAGACCCGTCTCTTCCATTGCCATCAACACGAGCCCAACTCCAAACGCAACGGCAGGTAAATTAGAGGTGCAACGAATTCAATTTGTAGGAAATAATTCTAATCCATCATCATGAAATGATCCTCCCAGGGTGTAACCGAAATGGTGCAGCACCATTGGAATCGGTTGATGTCGCATTTGTTTTTTACAGCAAGCCTCTGACCTCCTGAATGGCAAGTGGTGAGGTTCGCTGGCTATCAAGATTGCTTCTTCTTTGGCTTTTTAAATGTGCTGGCTGGGTTTATTCATTTTTTTCTCTCTTCCCCTACCTCCTTCCTCTTCCTTGATTAAGTTTCAAGTCCGTGTATGATGACATAAGGGATTTAGTTTATAAAAAACATTTCTTTCGATTTACTATGATCAGATATTGTTATTTGTAATGATGCAAGGATATATATTTCTTCCTCTGTTTGCTCACTGTAGGGATTCAAAATCCATGTTCTTATATGAAGATGGTCTGAATTCAATGCAAGAGACTAGGGTTGTCCTAATAACTGTTTAAACACAATACGAACATGACACAAAACAGTTGGTTGCAAAGATTACCTAACTGAACATATGCAGGACAAGCATCAAATCATGTGTAAATATAAAGCTATTACTAAACATCTCCATAAGCTCGAAAACTATAGGGCTTTTGGTATGGACCATTGAAGTAATATCAGCTTCGAACCACATGGGAGAACGAACAAGATCCCCAGCAACAAATTGCATGAACGATCACTACCTTCAGGGACGACCCTTACTTCCCCTTCCTCAATGTAAACCATCTGATCAACTTGACCGTCCCATGGCAATTTACACTTGCCCGTTCCATTTTGAAAGGATTGATGATATTTAAAAAAACAGATAATTTTAGAAGTTTCATTTTGTTTTGTGGAACCATGATGATGGTTTCGCTGAGACCCTTCAATGGGATATCTCCGTATCCATCAAAACCACCATTGGTTTACAGAAACAGGCAAATAAAGTCTAAGGGGTACTATTTACATGACTGCTCATACACATTACATGGTATTCTCTGAATTAAAAGGACAAATATTATACTCCATTAAAATATCTTCCGCACAACAATTTTGTATTAGAGAAATTTTAAAGGATCGTATCAACATCTTTATATTTATAACAACTTGAGAACTCCACAAGACATAAAGGAAACATCTTCGGAGGAACTACTTTGAATATTTAACAATTCTTCAAAAAATTAAAATTTATTGACATATTTTTTCGTCAGCTAGTTATAGCTATTTAATCTGTTAACTTATGAATAATAACCATATTCTTACACCTAACAACAGTTCTAACATTCATTATAAAATTTTTCAATTGAGACCGAGAGAAGGAATATGACCTCAACTAAATCTCATCATTATTCTCTTTTATTTTACCTTCTTATAGAGATAGTACTTTAAAACGACCAATATTAATTTTTTATCACTACAATTCCCTATTCAAATAAAGAGAGTTAAATTGATTATCACTGTTATATCCTATTTGGTCCAATCAACAACTTTCTTCTTAATTTTTAGTTGCATTCCAAGAAAATTATCTTAATTTGATCATGTGAACTAGTCATTTTGTGTAATCTAAAAAATTGATGGCTTTCATTTTTTTTAATTAATAATAATGGGGAGGAGTGTTGTTAACACATCTTTTTCTTTGACAATTCCGTAAGAAACCTTAATAAATGATTTTTTTTAAGTTGAAGGGTCAAAATATAACTAGACTAAAATTAAAATAAAAGTAAGCTTAATAAATAAGATGCAGAAGCAATAAATGTGAACGGTCAATAATGGCCCAATGGCTTACATTCCATTGTTGTAGAGATATGTTATCCGAACTTAATGACATGGTTGTTGCGCAATTAAACTGTCATTAGAACCGAGTCAGCGAGTTAGGAGAAACCGCCCAACTCACTCCCTCGAAACATACACTTTGAGTCTCTTGAAAGAAAAACAAGAGCGGATCATTTCAAATGATAATTTATGAGCTTTTGCCCCGTTGCAAAATCTATTTACGAATTTTAAATTTAAAATCAAATTTGCATACATTTACCAACAAAAGATGAAGATGACGATATAGATATATATAAACGGTCGATCATTCATTCTTCCTAACTTTTAGTGATGTACGCATTTATATTAGGATAGTACATGTATAAAGTTTCATAAAGTAAAATAAATTATTAATAACAAATAAAAAAACCTTAAAATTTTATAAGAGAAAGTTCGATTCCGTCGGCCCTCGATTTATCTTTACTACCTTCTATACAATATGTATAAATCACCTTAAATTTATGTTAATATAGCACAAGAGAAGATGCTGGAATTGCAAAGCTCATACGTGTTATCTGATCAACCTTGAGTTGGGGTCTTCTTGCCTATAACCATAATCACCTGTTGTGCAGTGGGTTTGAACCTGTCGGAACTCTTGTTTCTCCTTGAACTGCCTCCGCGCTTGGCCCCTAAACCGTGGACGAAAAACCCGTCGGCCAGCTTGTACGGTTCCTCTTCCCGATGATTCGAATGTTACCACGTTTCTTCGGTGATTCAAAACAAGGATTAGAATCACAGGGATGTGCCAAAGTTGAATGCGTTTCATATTTTCCTTGAGAATATGGAAAGGTAGTTTTAGGCTCATGTAGCATTTAGCCATACTATTACTATATATATGTGTGTGTGATCTTAGACCGGAAGACTTTGTCACGGTGAAATGCAAGAATGGACAGCGAGGGATCAAGCATATGAGACGGGGACAAGGAAACCAGAAATCGACATAACCCGACCTAATATGTAAGAACTTGAAGGAAAGAAAAACGTTCGCCGTCAAATATAATTTATTCCAACATAAATCATAAGGTTTAGATATAATTTTATATGTATTTTTAAAATCCAAATCTTGCTTTTAGATTATGACCAATTGACAATTGAAAAAGTTTATTAATCAGAGCATCTTGGGTTGGTCTAGATCATGAATCAAGGTCAATGTTTTTACACCCACGCACTCGATTATTATATTTGTAGGAAAACTATAAAAGGCTTGACCATTGCACAGTGTAGACACTATAAATGCATGGATATTGGAGTTTCAGTATTTGAGACTTTGAATCATACGATTTGTACAGACTTTTCAAAGGCCGTCACTCTATATCATAATTATGCTTTGAACATTTTTGTAGATATCTTTATTTTATATAAATCTTGTTCATAATTATACCTTTCAAATAATAAATAATTATTTCAGTTGTTCATGGATTATTTTTGTAATAAATAATGAATTTTTCTTAGAATATGCATTATATATTATAAATAGAGTCGAACCTTGAATAATATATATATATATATGAAACTTATTGTACACTGACCAAAAGCCAACACACAGACTTGTTTTGGTTTTAAAAAGTAGTTGTTTTATAGAAAAGTTAAGAATTTTTTTCTTGTCCTAAATGATGCGATGTTGAAATGTAAAAGAGAAGGGGTTAGAGTGGGATCCTTACGGCCGGCAAAACCTTCCAACTTTTTCCTTATTTTCTATTTTTTATATTTATGAGATTACAACCGATGCCCCATGAAAATTTATACATGTATACACACAAAAAATACAAAATAAAATAAATAATATGATAAGATACAATTAAACGAATTAATTAAAACTACATGAACTTTTTTATTAAAATTTATATAAATAATAGTAAGTATATTTGATTGGTTAACTAAATTATTTATCTTTATTCTTTTATATTTTCTAAGATTAGGAGTTATAGACCTACAAGAAACACTCCTTTCTTCCCCAAGAGTACAGGTGGAAAGAATTGGTGAAATTCTAGGGAGAAGAAGGAAAGATTAATGATGACAAGGAAAAGTTAAGCAAATGTTGAAGAACTGAAGTCCATTAATAGCAAAGGAAAGAGTAGTGCTAGGTTATTTTAGAGGAAAAAAATAAAAGAAACTCTGAATTTGAATGATTCTGACTACTTAATTAAATTATAAAACTAATATTAAATAGACGATATTAATCCAAACGCTATTTAACATATATTTTAGTTTTGTTACGAATATAACAAGTTAGTTTTTAAGTTAGTTTAAGGTTGGGTGTTTAACATTAATTCTTAAAGATTTATGGTTCAACTAATATAAAAAGTATTTTTTTCATCAATAAAATAATTTTTTTTAGTTTTTTTAAATATTAAAATAATCGTGTTAAAAAGATCGTTTAATGAGATAACTACGTCAACAACGACGTCATCTTATTAAGTTATTAACGTCGAAGTAATATAATTGTACTTAAAAACAAACATTAGTGTTAAAATTTTAATAGTATAAACGAATCTACGCTCAAAGTTGATGGTATTTAAAGTAATTTGCCCAAATAAAAAATAAAAACACTCCTAGCCTCTAACTATCAAAACCCTAAAATCCTTTGAAAGCGCTCCGTCTCTTGAAAAAGCTCCTCACTCCGCAGCTTCAATTTCGAAGTCCCAGCGCCACATCCGTCACCACATCCCCAACATGGTAAATCTCCCTTCATCTTTTTCATCTTGTACTTAACGTTATACATTTTCTGCAATTCCTCTCTCGTTAATTCATTGTTTTTTTCTTATGTTTGAACCGATAACATCTGGATTTGGGTTGTTATTGTTGTTTGTGTTTTGTTATGATTTTAGGTTCTCCAAAACGATATAGATTTGTTGAATCCCCCAGCGGAGATCGAGAAGAAGAAGCACAAACTCAAGCGTCTCGTTCAGTCTCCCAATTCATTCTTCATGGTAAGTTATCTGACCTTTCTCTCTTCATTTCCATGTCAACAATTTAGTCTATATGGTATATTAACGTTTTTTTTTCGTTCTGTTGTTCTCTCTTCCAAAGGATGTTAAATGTCAAGGCTGCTTCAACATGTACGTTTACATTGGATTTTAGATTTACCTTTGTAAGTTGTATTTCGTATATTAAATTCTGGGTTTATACTTTTTTTTTGCAGCACAACTGTATTTAGCCACTCTCAAACTGTGGTAGTGTGTGGTAATTGCCAGACAGTTCTATGCCAACCAACTGGTGGCAAAGCTAGACTTACCGAAGGGTGCTCATTTAGGAAAAAGGGTGACTAAATCTGTTTCATATGGCCCATTCTGGGTATCTTTTTGATTTGTTAAAATGCCTTTATTTTAATAGCACTATCAATGCTTTATAAAGATTATGCTACTTCTTTATTAATGCCATGGATTTTTTTGTTTAAATGAGTATTTGGTTTTACATTTGGTTGGTTTTATGATCTTTTATATAAACATTAATATCTTTATTTGCCGTGTTTAGAGTCTTCCCATTGTTGTCCTGATAATTTGTTAATATTTTTCTTGTTTTGGTTAACTAACTCAAAGTTGTTTTCTTGTTCTGATTGCATTATAAAGACATTGCAATGGCTGATTTTGGTTGTATGATTGGTAGATAGTGACAATTTAGGTTGGTTAAGTAGACTGCACATTTTATTTTGGGCACGGTACAAGGGCAATCTTGTACACTTCCACTCACCCCTGATTTTGTAAAGCCTTCTTGATCCTTGACTGTTTACTTATTCCTTTGTATGCTAGAAGCATATGGGGGGATCCACTCGGAGATTTATTTTAGAAGACATTTTAGTTGCAGTTTCCTTACAATTGCCATGTGGATAAAGCCTGCTTCTGTTTTTCCTACTTGCATGCCCGTATACAATCATACCTATCAGTTAGACTGGTTAGGTCATTTTAGTTTTAAAGTTATGGGATCATTTTGAATTTGGATCATTGTGAGTCTGGATCATTTTTGGGTTCTGGTTGTTACTTTTTTCCTAGTCAAATCGAGTTGAGTCCGTTTAAGATCACAATTGACATGTCTACACTTAGTTCCTGGTAGAATAGAGTTTTCATGAGTACTATTTGCATTGTAGATTCTGTATGACCCAATGAGTAATTGTAAGTGGGAGACTTTAAATATAGCTTGAAATGTAGTAAACTCTGTACATGTGCCATGTTTGTTATTATCAGTTTCTGCAAGCATTGGTGTTATGATAGATGTCTTTTTTGCTCTGTGCACCCCCACCCTGTGGTTATATCTAACGTTTGAACCTGCCTTTTATGTTTCTGCTTGCTCTCTGCAAATTAACTGAATAATTTGACTCGTCAATTTTTCTTGGTTTCACTCAAATTTGATTCGTTAAATAAAGAGCTCAGTTAGAAGCCTTTTTATATTTTTTAAAATTATACCATGACTACTGATGTTAGTCGACTCTATTTGAATTTGGCTTTATACTTGGGGTAAATTATAGATTTTACTACCCAAGTATCTTCTCATTTCTATTTCGGTCATTAGATTTTTTTTTTAAAATAATTTAATCATTAAACATTGCATTTTTTTTCAGTTCTCTACCTCAGTTATTTTCTAGCGACATGGCACTCTGTTGGCATTTCTTATTAATTTTGGAATTGTCATGCAACTGTTAACTAATATTTTATTAATAATATCATATTTATATATCTTTTCATTGAATTGGACTCTCTACTGTCGATCTTTTGCCGCCCATGTTCCTCTTCCTGTTACATCGTTTCTACTCCCAAATCAATCAATTATTAATCGAACATTCACTTATATCAAATCATTATGTCTTTTTCTTTTGAGTTCAATTCATCTCTAATCGTATTATCGTCTACTATGACTATTTGACTTCAATTTTTATGAAGATACTATTATATGGAAAGCAACATTATAGAAATACTATTTTTGAAAGAAAAATACGTAGCTAATGATCCAAGAAGTATTTAAGGATCTAAGATGATTTGATGGATAAATAAAATTGATTTTAATAAAATTGTTGGTTGGAGGGTTTTAACTTATTTAGAATAAGATAAAAATAAATAAAAGAGGAAAAGGCTATTAATAAAGGCTGCGATAGAGATGTGTAGCACCATAGATTTGGTTGTCCTTGGGGAACAAGTAATGGAAAGCTTCATCGGTACTTCCACACATGACATTGTACACACCAGCCGTCCCAAAATGCTCGATGTATCCAATTAACGTATCAATTTAAAATAAACAAGTAATTTCTATTTTTCAATCCATCCAACTTGCTGTGACTTGGATTGCATAAATCACATCTCGCTCACTTTTCATTCTCTCCAATTAAGCCCCACGACGTAATTAGATCTATAATATTTACAGAATTTATTAATTGATAGAGTGATTAATATTGTTTATGTTATCTTATTTTGTGTGAATTTAAATCTCGATATTTACTTTGAAAATATAATATCTCTCTATTTAATAATAAAAAAATAAAAAAATTATTGAAAATTATATAGAAATATTGAATAATGTAAATATACATATTGTCAAATCAAAATGATGCATCTCTAATGTTCTAATCCATTTATACTGCATTTATCCATGCCTTTTTGCTGCCTTTATTAGAAAGCTTCAAACAAAGATAAAACAAAATTAAAAAAAAAAAAAGCTTCAAAGTTCAAACACTCTCTCCCTCTATATCTATATTGATGCAAATACACACCAAACTGAGCTCATATGCTTGTGGTCCTTTGCAGCATTTCCATTCCTTCGGCACAACTAAACAAATATAATTAAATATCTTTTCAATTTTCTAAAAATATTATTGTATATATCAATACAAATTCAGCTATAAGCATTTTTGGCAGCCTTTTCAAATGCATGACCTTATAAAATTAAACTTAAAAAAGGAAGTCTTAATTGTGAAGAAAGATAATTTTTAATAAAATAATCATTATCGGTTATCCTATCACTTTCATACTCAAATTAAAGGATTTAATTTTATTTCACAGGTTTAATTGGACTAAAATTAAATATTTAACGAGCTAATATTATTATAAAAACGTTAACATAGTTTTATTATTGTGAATTACTTATATTAAAATTAAAATTATATCAAATCATTAAATTTTAAAGACAAACAATATTATATTCATCCATATTATAGTCTCTTAACTGAATTTAACTCCAATTATATTTTTAAATAAATATTTAAAAAGTAAAAATTTATTTGGGTTTTTAAAGGGGATTGAAGCATTGTTCTTAAGTAATTTAATTGAAGTGAAATTGATTTAAGAGGATGCATTAGACATGGATGAATGCATAGTAGTGCATTTATGTCCTTCAATTTTTTTTTGAGTTTACATGATTTTGTTGGTGGGTGAGTTCATTCCAATATAAGTTATTCTTCTTTATTAATTTCGTTAAAATAGAAAATTGTACAAGTACAATAGATAGAAGTGTATTTTTTCTTTTAAAAATTCTTTTATATAATAGTTTGTAATCCATAAAAAGTTAAAAATAATATTTTATAATTAATTTTAAATGATAAGTAATTTTATTTAGTAGTGATAAGTATATGTATATATATATATATGACAAGATGGTTTCTTTTCGTTCAAGTTTCTCTATATAAATAATCATACCAACAGTTCAATCTCGTAATATTTTTTTTTTGTATTTTCCAATGACAGCCACGAAAAACCTAGAGCAAGAAACAACGGGTGCTCTACAAGAGCTGCGTGTTAATGAAAACACGAACGACTCGCCTGAGTCAACCCGGAAATTTATAGAATCGTCAACGCCGCCGAGTCTCGATGAAGTGGAAACCATCTTGGGCTATGAATTTAAGAACAAACAGTTGTTGGAAGAAGCTTTCACGCATGCTTCTCTTGGCGAAAGCATCTCCAACGAGCGGCTAGAGTACGTCGGCGATTCCGTTCTTAATCTGGTGTTTACTAAAGAGCAGTACTTTGAATACCCCAATTTGTCGCCGGGGACTTTGACCAGACTGAGGGCGGCTAATGTCGATTCCGATAAGCTGGCTCGCGTCGCCGTTAAACACGGTCTGCATCGGTTTTTACGTCATAAGAAACCTCTTCTTGAAGAACAAGTAAGTCGTTTTGTCCTTTAGGGTTTATATTTAGGTCAGATCAGATGAAAGATATACCATGATAGTTTCTATAGACAAAATATACCAAAACAAAGCAAGGTCAACGTTAATGGTGTTTTAGACTTTCGCTCAGTTGACTTTCAAATATTCTGTAAAGGTTTAATTAAAATACATTCACCATTTTACTTTAATTACGTTCGATTTTACGAGCAGTTAATAAACATTCTTTATTATAATTTTTTATTTATCAGTGCATAGCATAATCAAAATTATTGCTTAAATAAAACCGATACTAATTAAGATAATAATTATACGGCGACAGATTCGACAATTTTCTGAAAAAATACGGCGATATCCTTTGCATTCAAATGGACAGGTTGAAGTGCCAAAGGCATTAGCAGACCTTGTTGAATCCATAATTGGTGCTGTTTTCATTGACAGCAATTCCTCCATTGATATTGTTTGGAAGGTACGTATATGTAGTAATATTTTTTTGTCATATATATATAAAGCGGCTAAACATGAATTTTCGATTGATAATAGTGTTTTTTTTTCTCAATACGTAAAATTATTTATTTATGAATAATGAAATTTGTTTTGGATGTTAGGTATTCAAATATTTGTTAGAGCCCATAATTAGACCCGAAACCCTAAAAATACATCCGGTGACCCAATTGTATGAGGTGTGTCAGAAGAGGAATTTGAAGGTGAAATTTGTGGATTCATGGAGAGAAGAGACGAGTTTTGATGTGTTCGTAGACAACCAATTCATAGGGAGAGGCTCATGTAGAGACAAGAAGGATATTGCGCTCAATAGAGCTGCCAAAGATGCTTTGGATAATATTTGGAAAATCTTGGATGCAAAGGATGTACACTCCATTTGATCATCCATGTTTTTTGTTCCCATCATTGTATTTAATTATGTACATTTCCACATGCCAGCCACTTATGTTTTTATAATTATATTTAAAGTATTATATATGTTAGTTATATTTATATTATAATTTTAGAACCTCTTAACTGACGTCAATAATAAAAAGAAATATTGTTCTCTATAAAAAGAAATATTATTCTCTATAAATGATCTACGTTTGAATAGTTATATCTGTAATATATTTTATAATAAATTTGAAAAAAAAAATATATAAATATTATCTTATAATTATTTCGATCTACTAAAAATTATAAACCTTTAATATCAAGAAAGAAAGGCCCAGACCTTTCTCGAACTCATGTAGAAGCCCAAAAAGCCAAACAGTTCTACGCTTCGGTTACTCCTTGACTGAAATCCCGATCAAAACCGAATCCGAATCCGAATCCAACTCTACAACTCCTTTATAAATTGATTAAACTTCACAAATTTCAAACAATCT